TAAGATCAAAATCGGCGAGGCCATTGTTGAAGAAAGCTCTGAAGGAAAACTGCTAGGGGGGTTAATGGATAAAAATCTTAATTTTAAAAGTCACGTCTCAAATTTATGCAAAAGAGCCAGCCAAAAACAGCATGCCCTTGCTAGAGTAGCGACATTTATAGGTTCTGATAAACTGCGTCTCCTAACGAACAGCTTCATAAAAGCTCAGTTTAGCTACTGCCCCCTAATTTTGATGTTCCATGACAGATGTCTGAATGCTAAAGTGAATAAAATCCATGAAAGAGCACTCATAATTGTTTATAAAGACAGTCATGCTGACTACGAAGCATTGCTGACATTGGATAATGCAGTATCGATTCACCAACGCAATCTACATTACTTGATGATAGAAATACACAAAACCAAATATAACCTGAACCCTAGTTTCATGTGTGATATTTTTGAAAGAAGAAATGTACATTATGATTTGCGAACTAAAAGTAATCTTTGCATTCCAAAAGCCAGGACAACTTCTTATAGTATAGAAACTGTGAGATATTTAGGTCAAAAACTGTGGCAAACACTATTTCACAGTATAAGAGAATCCCAATCATTAGTAACATTTATAAAAATCGCTCCTATCGCTCCTAACAAACATTTCACCATTCCTTCATGGATCCCTACTTTCAATGAACCATCTTATCCATTTGATCTAAAGCCACCTAGTTAACCATTACTTCTATCATAAGGCGTATGAAAGCTTCTACTTCTCCCTGTCCTCTTGATAAGATATCAATCATCTGTTTCAAACAAAGTCCCTATCTTCGTTCTTTTCTTACTGAAATTATTCGTGTTGTCTGGCTTTCAGGTAAGGTACCATCCGAATGGAAAAAGGCCTCCACTATCTTGATTCACAAAAAAGACAGCACCGATGATCCATCAAATTTCAGGCCAATCACTTTAGAATCGGTGCCCTTAAAATATTCACTTCTTGCTTTCGTGACTCCATCTTCTCTTTTCTGAAATACAATGGCTTCATCGAGCACCAAATCCAAAAAGGCTTCACCTCAAAAGTATCAGGTACATTAGAGCACACAACAATGATGAGCCATTTAATAAATAAAGCTCGCATTAAGCAACGATCTTTAGTGGCATCTTTGCTGGATCGCAAGAACGCCTTTGGCGAAGTTCACCACAAGCTGATAACAGCTATTCTTGCTTATCATCATATACCTTTGGAAATTCAATCATTAATCTCGAGCTTATATCTAGATTTTAAGACCTGTATCATAACCGATAAATTCCAAACCCCTACAATTCCCGTTCGCCGCGGCGTATTGCAAGGTGACTGCTTCAGCCCCCTTCTTTTCAACCTTTGCTTCAACACGTTCATATAATACATCAAATCAGATAAATATAAGCAGCTTGATTTCTCCCCCCATGATGGTAATGACTGCATGTTTCAGCCAGTACACTGGTTTCAGTTTGCTGATGATGCTGCTGTTGCTACTAGTGGAGAAAAGGAGAACCAACTCTTATTAAACTGCTTTACCAGATGGTGCCAATGGGCAAACTTCATTGTCAGGGTTGACAAATGTGTTACCTTTGGTGTCAAGAAACACTCTACGTGATCCCTCTAATTTCAACCGAAACCTTTCATCTGTAACCAAATAGTACCTGCTGTCAAAAATGGCGATTCCTTTAAATATCTTGGTCGTTTCTTTGATTTTGAAATGAGTAACCAAGATCATAAATCTAAACTCGTTTCTCTTTTCTCTACTCTTATTAAGGATATTGACGACTTACCTCTCCATCCTACAAACAAACTGCTATTATACAATCGTTATGTTCTGTCTAAAGTTTCATGGCATTTTACTGTTGCAGATCTACCAAAGACCTGGGTTGTCCAAAACCTAGACAATCTTGTTTCCAATTACATTCGCCAGTGGCTTGATCTTCCTGTTTCTGCTACCTTAAGTGGAAAATTCCTCTCAAAAAATCTGTTTGGCCTAAATCTACATCTGTCTTCTATCAAATTTACGCAATGCCCTAAACTGTCTGTCGCAATGCCCTAAAATCTTCTCCTAACATTGACATTCAAACCCTATGGAAAAACACAAGTGATGGCACGAGCCTACAGTACGACATCTATCGTAATATTAAAGAGGTATTAAAGGCTGTCAAATCAGATAACAAAGAACACCTCTCTCAAAACTTACCATCTCAGGAAGCTACAATTACCTTCCTACTGAAACATTCACTGGAAAAGCTGAACGGTATTTGGTCAAGTACACAGAGCAACTTGCCTAGTAACATCTTTAACTTTACCATCAAGTATCTTAACAACACTCTTCCAATTCGTAAGAATCTGCTGAAATGGAACCTTAGTCAAACATCTGAATGTGAATTCTGTCTTCTTCATGAAACACTTCTACATGTTATTGCTGGATGCAAAGTGTACCTTGACCAAGGCCACTTTACTTGGCGTCATAATTCTGCATTAATCTTTGTAGCCACTTCCTTCCAAGCAAAAAAAGGGTCTTCTCTCTACGCAGATTTACCGGGCTTTCTTTCCACTTCTATCATAACTGGAGATCAACTACGCCCCGACTTACTTCTTAAAACTAAGGAAAACTGTTTGTACGTTTTAGAGCTAACCATAAGCTTTGAAACAAATCTCAACTGCTATGCTGTCAGAAAGTTAGAGAAATATGCCAACCTCATATCTGACTTAAAACATCGGTTTAAGTCTGTTTCATTTGTCAATCTTTCCATCAGTTCACTTGGCATTTTTGGCAAATCCTGCAGCTCATTCATCGACATGTGTGACTCTTTGTCCATTGATCATCAACAGAAACGCTATCTCATCTCCAAACTTTCAAGCATCTCCATTCGATTTCTGATACGGCCACATTTTGGTGGCCCGTTGGTAGCCGTATTAACGGGGTTCCACTGTATGATATTTATCAAAGGAGCCTTTTGTGTCGTACTGGGAAAATGATCACGAGTTACCACGAGTTACCAACGAGTTACCATACGGGTTCCATTCTACGTTCACAGATCTCAGTATGGATTACCACCTTCTTTATAAAATATAATATATACATATATTCATTTAAAAGTGTCACGGTAACTCGTGGCATTCCCATATAAAACCTCTATTAGAAATGGTAACCCGTTGGTAACTCGTGATGACATGAATATTTTCAAAAAAACATTGATGCCACTCAAAATCAGTTCTGAAAAGCAGTGAGGACAATTTTGAGTGCTTTTCTGCACATCTGCTGGTAATGATGAATAAACAAAAATGTTTTCCATCTCACAGCCATCATTTTCTTTTCTCTTTTGACCGAGGTGTTGTATTTTTTGGTAGACTGACTCTCATGCTGGGAATTTGGCTGAATTTACCCTACTGTAGGTAATCAGGTAGCATCTGCGAATTTCTCTCTCCTAAGCTTACAGATGTTATCAACTTATTCTGCGTATGCAAAGATTGAAGGCAAATTGAATGTACGTACTATAATAGCAAAGTCTGAAGCAAAACGCAATGTGTAGGCTATCAAACCCATACAAACCTATGACTTATAGTTAATTGACCAAGAAGGACCGCCATGTCTATATTTCCCATCATAATTATGTACCGCCCACGTACGTAGAGAACTTTAAATCTGATCAGTTTAGGTAGAAATGTCGCGTCTTCTTCGATTTACTACGTCAATTGCAGTTTTCTGAAATTCATAAATTTCCATGAAGATTCAACACAAAATGCTCTTTTAGACCGGCTTCCTAGTTTTTTAGCATTAGGCGACCATTTCTACCATTTCGAGCATTAGGCGGCCTAGTAGCTCTCTCCGATACATAGCAAGCCTTTATATTTTATATTTACACTTTCATGAAATGCTTTTATTTCAAATAAATCAAATAAATTTTGTCGGAAAATTTTTCTTTCTGGCCCCCTCTAGTATTTATTCGCCACGATGTCTCTGTGAGACACGCTTCTGCTTACCAGTTGTGATGCATCTTAGATGTCTGGTGGAAAAGGGATCGATGCCAACGGGTCGAAACTTAGATCTTAGGGCCGATACGTGCCTTGGGTGCACTTTCTTTTCGTTCTTCCTTGATTTGTTTAGCTTCAAAGCTGCCTTCCATATGTAATTGCATATGTAATTGCTACTCTGATCACGCAATGAGAATGAATCGTGTTAAGGCATGTTTTAACTTCCATGTATAAAGCTATATCGAAAAGGTCCTGGTGTAATTTCTGTGTCTCAATTGAGCAATTCGTTTTGAAATTTCAGAATATGGCTTACCAGTAATACTTGCACACATTCCCATAACCTTCCGATGTGATAAAGCTGGATGCATCGTTTCCCTCAAAAAACTAAGACAGACATTCTGATAACTGAAATATCGTCCGTAATTGTGATGATTGAGTAGAAAAGGTATCAACTCACACTCAGCTTTTCAGTGCTATCTAATATTGCACTCTCTAGCTGCTTTAAAGTTTGAGAAAATTGCTGAGCGACAACGCTAATGAATTGACGGTATTTCATTTTTCCTTTAGCTTGCATCTTTGTTCAATCTTAGTTTCCCAGGTGTGCACATATCAGCTTAAATGACATTCTTGAGTTGCTGAATAACACAAAGATGAAAAAACTTCAATATCGAGCTTGAAAATTGCAGAACCGTCATTTGATGACGTCATGAAAACTTTCAATAGCAATAACTCGTTCTCTGCAAGACTGATAGAGTTTATTCTTTAAAACGTTTTGCTCCTATTACAATTCCAAACAAGAGCGATTTTTCAAAAAAGAGAAGAAAATTTTAATGACCGGGGAAAATGACGTCATCGATCACGTGATTTCTTTTGTGCTACAAAAATGTATCCAAGACTTACAATATTCAGCAAAGCTTAAAGTACCCAAATCAAGAACAAAAACTGAGGTCAGGCACTTTGCTCGATTGTTGTTGGAAATTTCATGTTAATATATAAATTAAAATGGCCAAAATTTCTCTTATAGACTGCAGGATTCGACCATACTCACAGAGATCACATCCCTGTACGTCCACACTGCGTATTAGATTTTGTCGTTCCCTTTCACAATTCGACCAAACGGGCAACGCTCGCTGGGGAATTTTGCACAGCTGAACACATCACAGGCGGAGCAGCTGTTGGCGACTACGATGGTGACGGTCTGCTTGATGTTTTTTTCAGCGTATTTGACAAGCGAAGCGTTTTATACCGAAATTTAGGTATGTTAGACGATCCCTTTCAAATCATTTAACATTTCCTAATACATTGTCGCTAGTTATCTAGATCTTACCATTTTCGAGGAAGTGGGTCTGCTAGGTGCACCAGCCCTTGTACTGCCTGGATAATACTGATTTTTAAGGTGGGTGTCACCACTGGGAACATTTTCCCGACTGATGCACCTGCCCATATAAACCCACAAATGTCCCGGATGTCTTAGGCCAGCCTGCACTTGTCCGAAAGCGAAAACGAGGTTATAAGATTACAACAAGGGAGGTTAACTCTGTTTAAAACTGGGGTTCTAAAAAATGTAGTGCGAAAAAGTTCTCGCGAAACCTCTTGGACATGCACAGTGAACTTTTACTTGAATTTAAAAAGGGAAAATGAATGCATATTATTTTTGCTTTTCGTGAAATAGGTGGCGTACAGTCAGACATAAATGATCTCACACTTTTGATTAAATGTTTCATAGGAAATGGGAAATACAAAGATGTGACTACAGAAACCAAAATTGGCCCTGAAAAATATGCCAATGGTGCTGTTTGGATTGATATTGACCAAGACGGTGACTTAGATATTTTTATAACCACTGTTGGGGACTATCGGCACTATCTGTATGTGAATTATGACGGTATCTTCCGAGAAGAAGCGACAGAAAGAGGCGTCAGCTTCCAGTTTCCTACAAAGAGAAAATTAGCAGGAATGACACCAAATGCTGGGGATTTTGATAACGATGGCTACCCTGACATTTACACTTCTGAGTGGATTTTGCACAGCCAAGGTGGAAGGGTTAGTAAGAGAATCACTACACTTTAAAGACAATTGACAAATATGATAGTGGCTGAAACAATCTTTCCATCGATATTAGCCAATTAAAGAGCATTTGAATAGAATCACGGTCACTGATTGGTGAATTTTTGATCGATAGATGGTTTAAGCCTTTTTAGCGTCTGCCGATTGTTATTAAGATGCATTGTTGGATTCTATGAATTTGGAAGTATCCTGATAACTGCATTAAAAATCACTCATACATGTTATGATTGCCTTTTTACCCTCATCAAGACTTGGTACAGGTCGATCAGCTACTAAGTGGTCTTTAAATTCTTGCCAGAACTGAATTATATAATTCTTTAGCTTTAAATTCTATTTCCTGGATTAACCAAATTCATATTTGTTGACATACCTTTGCAGCCTTCCGCTTCAAGACTGATGAGAAATCTTGGTAAAGTTAAACCAGGGTATGTTATGATAAAGTCATCGAGCATGTAAACTTATTGATTTCTCACATAAGAGTTGTGTTCTCACTATTACCGTTGTTTTCTTTGTTCGATATCAATAACCAAATTGATTTTGTAATTTATGCTGGATCATTGTCAGAATGAATTATATCATTGTCCAAGGTGCTGAAAAACCCCCTTGAAAAAATTCCATTGCAAAAACGAGGTGTTTCTGACCATCTAGGGATGCTTTGTCGTTGAATTTTCAATTTTTTCGGCAAATAAAGGATGGCTCACTCACTTTGCTGGCAAATGGTATTTGGAAGCCCCCTTAAGCACAATAGCTAGCGATGGGCCTGGTGTTGAAACATTATTTTTTCTCATATTCTTACTTGTATCTCCTCATCTCTTTATTTAGCTATTTTGAGGATGTAACTTCCAAGGCTGGCGTTGACATGGACAGCTACTGGGCCAGAGCGAGCCCCCTTAATGCTGGAACACACACATTTGGAGCCTCTTTCACAGTAAGAAGCTCTTAGCCTTTATACAGCTAACTTAGAGCCCACTGCGTTCTTTAAGACATTGCGGTATATACAGGCACCATACAGCCATTGGGGTAGCAGAGGTTATAGCCCCCCCTTTTTTGCAACAATAGGCTACGAATTTTTTGGAAGGTTTACTCTAACGCAACTTTCGATAGTTTCCTGTTATTTAGAAGCAGTTCTTCTTGACTGGGAACCTTTTTTGCTCATTTTATAGGTGTTTTCTCTTATTTATGATGTATTTTCTAACTTGGTTAGCTTGGTGTTTTGTTACCCTTTTTATAGTTATTGATATCTTCTCTGAACCAGACTGTTTATGAAAATTCAGTAGAAATGAGCAAATATTTTCTGAAAGGGGCGTTTTCCGGCGTTCTAGAGGGCGTGGCCTGGAAAAAAATGTGACACACCCATTTCAGTCCCTCAGCTCTTAGACTGGTGCGCGGTCCCTGGGTATATAAGCATTTGATATTTTTGAGCACAAAAAAACCGACTTTACTTTGTCAAGAAGGCACTTTCTTTGCATATGTCAAGTGCCATCCACACTTCGAAAAAGTTTTTAAATCATTTCATCTGTACTTTCAGTGCTTCAAATTTGTGGTTAATGTGATACTCTTTAAAGGTTGATGCTTTTCTTGTTTCAGGATTTTGATAACGACGGTCTTCCAGAGCTCCTCATTACTGGAGATTATGGAGAAAGCAAGATGTTTTGGAATAACGGAAATATGACATTTCGCGAATGTACAAGAAATTGTGGACTAATTGGTGACGTGGTATGAAAATGGTTTTCACATTGTTTGGTCTTGAATAATTTACAATTATGACTAACTGAATATTTTTCGATTGTCATCGAGTAAAAGGTCGGTTATTCTTTCTAGTTTCTCTAATAGTATCTGCAATTGTTTGATAGAGTAATAAAATGCTAAAATGAAACTCTAATAGAGTCTCGGTATGTGTATATTTATAAATAAAGTCGCAGGCATAATTTATTTCAGTTTTTGTAATTACAACTGAATTATGGTATGAATTAGCTGTTTTTTAATATCAAGAGACAAAGATCTAAATGCTTCAGTCAAAAGTAACAAAGTTTACAGTCCTGCAGAAATGACGTCACCCTTCCTCTTTAGGATGCAATGGGACATGCAATTGGAGATTTAAATAACGACGGATACTTGGAATGGTTTTCAACAGCAATTTTTGACAATGCTACTAATTGCGAAGTGACTGGCTGCATGTTTGGAAACAAGGGAAACAAGCTTTACAAAAATCTCGGAGATAGAAAATTCCAAGAAATTGCAGATCAGGTCAGATATTGGTTAGAGTTGATGATTTGTTACTTTTTTTACTAAAGATGTCATCAACATAGTAAATCTCAATGAGGCAGGATTGCCAATTATTATCAAGTTATATTTCGAAATTGTGAATAGTGGGACACGTATCTGCTCTAAGCATTGTAAGAAAAATGCTACTCGATGATGATTTTTGCTTGATTGTTATGATTCTTTGTTTCATTGACTATTTATTTGATTAATCGATTCTATACTTGATTTATTTATTTCTTTAGGCTGGTGTTCGCAATGGCCGCTGGGGCTGGGGGGCTGCTTTTATCGACTTCAACAATGATGGATATCTTGACATTGTTATGGCAAACGGTATGACTGATAGATAAATAGCCTGTGTTTTATTTTTAAAGAAGTAACTTCTTCAGATGTGATATTCGTAAAGCTGTATTCCTTTTCCAGTTAAGTACTTTGGTGTATATTCATAAATCCTGAAATCAGCCTACCAATGGCTATTTGAGATGTTTTTGGCTGGGGGCTAATTCAAGGGGAACCTAAAGGGGCGGGGGCTTCTCCAAATAGCCTGAAAGTCATGCCAGAAAAAAAATATTTTTAAAGAATTTCCACTTTTTCAAGATTTTTTTTGAGAAATGAAAATCTGGCTTTCAATTCCTTTTGATTAGACAACATTACCGTTGTTTGCTTCCGCGATAAATGCTTCTATTATTCTATTTTTTCGTTTACCGTCAAAAATGCTATTTATCATTGACTTAAATTATGCATTGTAAACTTTGTATGTCAGGAATTGAGCTTTAGAAGAGTGGGGGCTTGTTAGAAATTACCACTTTTAGTGTTGGGAGGGGGGGCTTATTCTACGAGCAATTAATAAGAGGAGCAGTGTTTTCAGGTCATATGGTTTCTTCGTAAAAAGGTTAAAAATTGGTTTAATTCATAAGACATTGTTTTTATTTCACTGATTCAACTTTTAGCGGTCAACCTTGATAAAATTAATGCTCATAGAGGCATTTGCGTACCCTTTTTCCTTTTTATCCTCCCTGACGGTATATATTTCTTCAGCCGGTACGTTTGAATAATTCTGCGTAAATATTGACAAAGTTATACCGATATATGAATTATGTGATTTGTCAACTTGAACAGCAGATTTTTTTTTATTTGCTATATGTGTATTTCTTTGTGTAACAGGCTTTGACACACCATCAACAACTGTTGATGACACGTTCATGACGGACAATATGCTGCTTTTCCAAAACTACGGCAAAGATTTGGCTGGATCAATGGAGGGGAAAATGAAAGAGGCTAGCAAAAAATTTCAAGATTTACTTCTCTATGCCAGTTCTATGACGTCATTTATCCCATTGGAAACCTTCTGTAGTTATTGTAGTTTATAATTTAAAGCTATATTCGTAAAACGCGCCCGAATTAAAATTGATGTTCTACAAACTTTTCGAGCATTACTCCACGAAGTAAATACGGGGAAGAGTTTTATGAGAAAGCAAATCTCTTTCCACTTACTGGTCAGACGCCATTCACAGATATCCTGCGCCTATGTGTAACAAGCGCGGCGAGCTTCTTGCTTCACAGGGGGTTGGGGATGGTAGCAGATGTTGGGGATGGTAGCTCGCAGGGGGTTGGGGATTGTAGCTCGCAGGGGATGTAGGGAAGTGAAGAAATTCCCTGGTCATTTGTTTTTTTCAAAAGGGGACTCACCGGTCACGAGAAGTTTTCACCAGGGATGGTTTTCACATGGCTTAACAATGTCTAGATATTATAGAGGTTTAGATAAATTTAAGTAAATAGCTTTATATCCATTTTAGGTTGCAAAGGAACATCAAATGATTTATAAAGGAATGGGAAGAGGGCTTTTGAAATACGACTTTGACAGTAAGGATCCATTTTATTCCTTTAATCAATTAATTAATTCATTAGAGTTGATAATACTGTTTGGTGAAATATGGAAGCCTCAGTGATGGAAAAGATTGAACAGTTATTGATATAACAAGAAAATGTTGGAGCGATATGATCAGAGTCTTAAAACACAAAATGAAATAAACGTTTTATAATGACATTACTGCTTGAAACGTCTTCCGAAAATTGACATTTTTGTAGATGAAAACGCTTAGAATGCCCTCAAAAAATCTTTTTAGCATCTGTTAGAACGTCATTGAGTTATCAGTTGCGATTCATTCCCTGCTTCTCGGTGATCTGAAACCGTTTTTGGAACGAGGTTTTGAAATCCTTGCAGACCTTTCTCTTTATAAATATTTGAGCATGTTATAGGCAGTTACGTTACCATCAGCCTTACAGTCGAACTTGTTATGTATTAAAACCATTTGTTTTTGCCCTGCGTAAGTTGGAAAGTGATGTGACTTGATGATCTATATGATAAAAGGAAGTTTTAACAACCAACATCAAAAACATATTATTTTTCATAACCAAAACCTGTGAAGAAATTATAGCTTGTGTGGCGTACTTTCATAGTTGTAACCAAAAATAGGGAAGACTACAGAGCAAGGCTGCGTAGCAAGGAACAGTGACTGTGGAGGCAAAGGTTGCTTTGCAATAGTATCTAGTTTTTCGCTATTTGATAGATTCTGTTTTTGCTGAAGGCATTTGGAATAAACGATGAGAAAACGGCTTTTTGAAAACTGATTGCAAAAAGACCTCCTTTAGACTGGTTGTGATTTCAACCTTTCCTGCATACTTTTTATATTTCAGATGATGGAGATGAAGATGTTCTTGTCATTGCCAATGTAGGTCCTCCAGTTTTGTTTGAAAATATTGGAGGTAGTCGACAAAATTGGCTTAGAATTAAAGTCGTACATAGGTAAAAGATTGGTTTTTGTTTGATATTAGATTTATTTGGTTTTTTTACTAGTTTAAGCCTGTTTTTATTATGGTCTTGGATAGCATACTTTCAAGCATTGAGGTCAACATTTGATCCATCTCAAAACTTCACTCATATTTTTTACCTTGAGTGTATTGAAATACTTTTATAGAATAGACTATGTCATAAATTTATCTTTCTAAAGGTGTGACGCCAACAAAAATAAACTTTGTGACAGCTATGGTGCAAGAGTAACCTTGACAGATCCAAAAGGCAGAAACCAGGTATCTGATGTGTTTTTAGTCCATATTCCTAGGCAAATACTGGATTGAATGATATTAATGGTCTACCTCTTGACCTTGTCATATGCCAAAAATACTATTTGTTCAATAAAATAGATTTAATACCTGTTTTATAATGATACCTATAGCCATAAGCTTGTAGGATAATGTCGCTTGTCCGATACGCAGTGTCCCTTAAACAATATGCAATGCCGATGCTTCAAGTACACGCTTTTAATGTGGTCCTGAAAGGAGATTTAACGAGAAAAAGGTGCCTAGCCACCTGTCCATCTTTCCACCGTCTCTAGATAGATATAATGCAAAATACAATACAAAGTAGATACACATGAATTGCAGCAAAAATTAGCGGATCACAGGTCAACCAATCTAAAATGCACTGGCATACCATATACAAATGAAATTGATAAATAAAGGACATCGTGTGGAAGCCTTGTCCTTTAGGTAATGTAGATTGGAAGCACAGCAGCTCTGTTTCTGTATGGAAGAGAAGCTTTGAACGACTTCGCAATGGTAACCAACCTATGGCAACCCTCAAAATGACCAAGACTTTCCAAATAAGACGGTTTTAATGTTGGAATGCTACAAACTGTAGCTAGTTGATGTCTTGATTAGCATTTTATTGATTTTATAACAGTAAGATGATTTTTTCTTGATTAGAACAGTATCTTAATATCCACTATAACTTGTTTCTTAGACACAAGAAATTGGCTCTAGCACTCACTTTCTTGGTCAGAGTGAAATCGAGGCCCATTTCGGTTTGAGCGAATATAGTAAAAACTTGACAGTACGGGTCTACTGGCCAGCAACAAAGCAAAATGTTATCATCACAGACGTGAAATCAAGAAAAACTTTGAGAATCTTGAGACCAGAAAGGTAACCTGAGTTCATTTATTAATTGTTTTTGTGCTGAGATTTTAAGACCATTTCACCAATTTTGTCCGAGTTTTCCGCAAAAGTAGCCTTGACACAAGAAGGAAGACTAGCTTTCTTGGCGAAGCCCTCAAGGCGGGTTTTTACAAGGCCTCTTAGCCAAAGACCGAGCTACAACTTTTTGTTTGGGGGGCCAGCCCTGATAAATATATGTAAAAGCAGCCACATTTTAGTAAACAAATGTATTTTACAAATACTACTAAAGATTTTTAGGGGGGGGGCCAAGTCCCCCCAGTTATCTTGCCCTTAGCCCGTGGCTTGCCTTTCTTGCTGACAGTGAGCATAAAAGAACCCCTGTCTTCAACCTAGTCAAACTGTGTGAATTTCAGTCGACACACGCTCATAACAAATTGCAGTAAGTGCAATTCTAGAGTTTTTGCCCCTCCCATGGACAATCTTTGTACAGTTGTTCCTAAACTTTTCTTCCATTTTGGTTTAGCTTTCTTTTTTGCTTTTCTTCGTTTTAAGTTTTTAAGTGCTAAAGCTTCTCTTTTTTTCTACAGTATTTTCTGGGTTTTAGCTTTCCCTCTACAAATTTTCAACGCTAATCGGAAAAGATTTATTCTCGTCAGTTCGAAAATATCTTATTGGAAATTAATGCTGTGTTTGCATGATTGAAGCTATCATACATAACATTAAAACCATTATTTTCGTTAGTATGGCTGGTGTTGTCAAGGAATTCCAAGCGCTGAGAAATTGTCAAAAACTGAAGATTACTGATGTTAAAGTTAAGGTAATTTCAACAAAGTGCTTTTTTAAAGACTAGAATTTTGAACAAGCACGAATTTAGTGCTATTAGATTCGATTTCAAACGTAGTTGCTACGTATTAAAGTAGTAAAGACCAGAACAGTCTTGGATCAAAGGAATGTTGCAGTGGAAGCACCGTTACCAAGCATGGAAGAGGGAATAAAATAGAATAATTAGCGCTACACCCCTTTTGCTTTGGAAAAGATTCTTATAATTTGGGAACGTTCATGAAAAGTTTTTGGCCACGTAGTAGCAGATGCAATATCATAGAATCAGATAGCTATTGCCCATTGCCTAGCATTTTCTTTTCGATTTTAAACGAATTGCAAAGATCGATCCTGCCAATGCCTAAGGGGGCCAGTCCCCTCACGTTTTCCCGCTGCAATACCATTAAAAGGGCGGAGGTAGAAGGCCATAATTTTAAGTAACTTAGACACGTCTTGTTTATTTAATTTGCAGGCAGGATCTCTGTTTGGTGTTGCTGTAAGCCAAGACAAACAGTCTCTGGTGTTAAGGCTCCACCCGGCTGTTCCTTTACATGGGCTTGGGTTGCAAACATTTGACTACACGGCTGAATTGCAGCCAGGTGGAAATATCACAATCAGTGCCAAAGTAACAATTGATGCCCGGCTATATATACGAAACAGCACAGTAACATCGAGGTGCCCTCATGGCAGAATGTGGGTACCAGGGATGCCTGTCCCTGCCAAAACGGAGAAAAGGTGAAAAGTGTTTGATGTATTTCAGTAGAAAATGCCGTTGAGGTGCGAGGGGTCGCCAGGGCCAAAATCCAGTATTTGTTGATAGAAAAAAAATCATCTAGGGAGCTTGTCATTTTCCTATCTGATAATTAAAGGAGAAGCTTTCTCAATTATCAAAAAGCTCCCTTGATTCTACAACCTACTTTGAAAGTTGATAATACAAATCTCCATGATATCTACAATAAGATTTTCTTTGGAACTTATAAACCATTGCATATCTTATGGTTCTAATTAGGCTACCTCTTCATATTGCTTGTAACCGACAACACTTTGTTTTTTTCAAGAACTTTCAATGGTTTTTCAAACAATATGGAGAATTTATTCTGGGGAGCTGCGTCGGAAAATTTGCGTCGCCTTGTTCCAAATAACTATTTAGATGATATAGCGATGCCCGCAGGCACATGTACACAGGAGCAACGACGTACAAGAACATGTCCTTACCCAGAGGAATTGAGTGGCTATGGGTCAATCAGGCCTCCACCAAGGCTTATCAGCAACGAGCTTTTTGCACAGGTATCGACAGCACTTTTTTTGGATAGTCATCAATCCTCAGGCACCGTGGAGCAAGGGTTTGGGGGGGGGGGTTAACCACATTTTGACAGAAATGCAAAAAATTAATCAATGAATCACCAGGTAATATCCTTTCTGTTCGGTTTTTGCTCCCCTTTTTTTTGAAACCTCCACTTTTCTCAACACTCCGCGGTGCCTGGTCCTAAAGCAGCTTTCATCTAAAGTTATGAACCCGTAAAATCTCAGAAAATAAATTTCAGTACTTTTTCCAGTGTTACTGTTCTTTTCCTCTCTGTTCAGTGGCAACACTAAGGGGGAATATTGGGGCAAACCCCCCTCGCCAAAATATTGTCAACTCAATTCTTTTTTTTAAAAGATAACAATTTTGGTAGGAGTTGATCATATTGTTTTCATTAACTGATTAATTCATGTGTTAAGAGGAGTTTAGCCGGCAAATTTCCCTTTATTCGGTAAAATCCCAAATTCACAAAAAATTCGCAGCAAAGCATAAATCAATTTTTGAGAAAAATTCCCTTTTTGTGGACAGATTTTGCTTAGGAAGACCTAAGGGCCAGTTATGTAACTAGATGTATAACATAATGTAAGTATAGGGCAATTGTCCCTAAAGTCAGACTGGCTTGCCTTTGTTAAGAAAATTGTCTATTGCCCTATACAGCCAAAGAGCTGAGCTCCAAGCCAAAGTCCATTTAAAAAAAACCCAGATCCAAGTAGCTTGTGTTCCAGACCCCGAATGTAGAGGGTCTCAAATACTCCAAAATCCTACAAAATTGAAATATTGGCTATCAATTTCAAATTATTTTTCAGAAAGAGTCGGTTATAAGCGAAAGAAGTTTAAGTGACCTGCATGTGCACTATGGCCAGGTATGTTGCACGTTTGACTAGTTCACATTAATTTCAAACTCAATTCGATTAGTTTAGAGGTGTTTTTCTGTCTTATCCCTGGCTAGAATGTTAGCAAGTTTATCGTCGAAATTCAACACCGATTAATACCAATTCACTTCTAATTATGCGTCGTTAAGATGTCGTAGACTTTTACTTAGATACATTACAACTGATCTTAAAAGACTCATTAAAAATAAGGTTTTATTAAGTTCAAACCAATTAGGCCCAGGCTAATTAAGTTTAGGTTTATCAAGTTTGCTTGATTCCAATAAAATTCCTTTTCAGAGTTTAGACTTTTCTTCAGGCCATTGTTTGTAAAGATAGCACTGTTCAATATTTTTAATTCCTATTCTGATTGCAGGTCTACTAAATATTTGTTTATCAATCTTCCAATGCTACGAATAGTGGGTATTTAGAAGCAATCGACCGATACTAAGGTGGCTTCAGCCATCCTTCGATCAACGATTAGCCAATCAGTGAGCGTGATACCACTTGCGTGCCTGTTAATTGGCTAATCCTGATTGACAGATGGTTTTAGCCACTATGGTCGTTGCAGGGTCTTGTAATAATGTCACCGCTATCTCAGGCCATCTTTCTCATTTCATCCTTAATTTAGTTCTTTGTTCATGACTTGGACTTCTCAAGCCCGTTACCTCGATTTGAGTTTCAAGGGATTTTGAATGAGGTTTGGATGCAAATAACAGTTCCAAAGGTAGGGTATCACTTTGTAATTTGTAATTCTTATTTTTTACGAACTTTGGAGCTAGTGTTGCATTCTAATTTCTATGGAATACAACTCATGTTGATATGAACGTATTATACTGCTCGTCGAAATCTGATGCGAAGCGCTTCATTGTAACGTCATTCTCATAAAACACGTCACGTCATAAAACATTAGGTTCACGCTTTTGTTACACCAAATGCATCTCAAACGCACAACCCTATTGACGAAGTCACCATTTTGTAAAACCCAAAAAACATAGTGTTACCAGGCATATTTAGTGTTAACAGCCAACTCTGAAGCAGTGTCATTTTACAATCAGATATATTTGATAGGTAGTACAGATCGTAAAGATTTTCAAATTCAATTTCTCTTCACTTATTCAAGATCAGGCAAACAGTTGCCAATAACCTTTATAACATGCAATTTCTTATGCCTTTATTGTCTATATTCCCCTTCTAAATTTCTATGAGTTCATTGTCCTCTTTGCATCATCTCTCTGTCGTGGGTTATCTAGGGCAAAACTCATATCTCCACTGCACAAGTTTCATTCTGTTTTTTGCATCAGCATTATGCAATGTTTTAACTTGTTAATTTGAAATCTTGTTCATGTTTGCTCCTCTCTATTTTTAGCAGCCTTTTATTTCAAATTTCTTTGGTGTCAGCTTCACCTGCGATTAGATTTGCAGCAACTCCAGTAAATAAAATCCGCAAAGCTTCTTTTAGAACAAATAATTTCTATTTGTTTTAGAACGATTCACATTTTGACCAAGATGGTACGGGAAACAAATACTTGCCATTCACAAGATCAACCTACAACAGGTGACCTAAAAATATGCATATTCTAAGTTGAAATATTTCTCTTAGAAGAAAATTAAGCCTGAATGGAAATTAGCTCGAACTCCTTAACATTTGGCAACAGCTTAAGTAACAAGCATTGTTGTGTTTATCATTTACTGTTATCCAAGGGCCTCTGACGTCAGGATGGGGGGCAACGACCCCTCCACGTTTTTGCAAGACAGTAGAGCTTTATGGGTCTTTAACTTGACCTTGGCCTCCCTTGATTTCCAACTGGCGTCGATGCAGAGCCCCTGTTTCCATAATTTGTGCATGGATATCCGTAGCAGCTATGAACCTACTCTTTTTCTAAATCTGCGCATGATCATATAGTCCAAGCGCTACCCTCTACCCTAGTGGCATGATCATGTCTACATGTTAGGCCCTAGCCCATTCTAACAAGACATTACCCCTATATATTGTTAACACTTAGAATCGGGCTATACGTTATCAAACTCTGTTGCATTATCCTAATCATAGTTTAACTAATGTGTTAAAGTATATGACAATATGTTTCCTTGCACATTTTAGATGCACTGGGAGTTACCCGAACGGTTTCCCTCGCGAGCAAGTGAATAAAATCTCATCATACATCGATGCTACAGATGTTTACGGAACAACAGAAGCTAGATGTCTTCAGTTGAGGGCTATGAAAGATGGCAAGATGAAACTGGATGCAGATGGGCTTATACCGGTGAGACATGGGTAGACCATTGCCTGCTTAGCACTCTGTTAAAGCTTCTAAAGCGACTTCACAATGTTTGATGCCTTCCATTACCATTTAACTAACAGGTTAATTTTTTTATTTCTACCAATAATATCTTTGAGGCTCGCAAAGTTTATGACGAATATTTCATAAAAGCTTACTTGTATCCCTTTGTTCAACGTGCTGTGTAATTCGAATATGTTAAGATAACTTATTTATTGATGTCTTTCACCATAGAAAAATGTCATGGGACTCGCCAATGACAACCCCGTTGGAAGGAAGCAGTCAATCTTGCGAGTTGCAGGTGACACAAGAGCGAATGTTGCACCTGGATTGTTAGCATTCCACACACTTTTTGTATTGGAGCACAATCGCTTGTGCGATGAATATAAAAAGAAGTATCCACAGGTAGGGCCTTGAAAAGTATATATTTCAAATTTATATCAAGCATAAATGCATTTACTGTAGCTTCAGCTATTATAAATCTCATCTCTAAAGACCCATCAAATCTTTTTCTAACTTAGTTTCATACTTGATAAACAATCCAGAGTGGATTCAATGCCATTTCTTTTTCACAGTTTTTTGTTTTCAGCTCTTTTGTCAGCTATCATTCCCATTTATAGTTATGTTATCAAACACATTTCCATTAAACTTGCTACCAGCTGCTAATTTCAGGGCGTGAATGTTAATGTAAACATTTCGACAGTAAAGGAAAGCAAGAATACAATGGCTAAAAACTTCCTCTCCAGCCTTACTCGATAAAGTATCATTACAATCAAAAACAGAAATTTTCTTCATTAATGTCGTTAATCTGAAGATTCAAAAAGCTTCTTATGTTGTTAGGTAATAGCCTAAAAGTATCGCACATATCATTGCCGTCCACTAGAAATGCTGTGCTTGGAGTCAAACTATTCTGTTTACGACGATATGGTGTAAACGTTTTCCATTTTTTGTTTCGCTTTATTTTGACGGTCAATTGTTTTTAAAATTGTCTTTACTACGACTTAACAGTGGTGTACGGCAACGTATTCAAAGCTCAGAAGCGAATAATGTCGTCGATTATATTATCCTTTGCATTCTCACGTTAACGCTAGCACTCTGTGAGTTATATCTTTCTTTTTTTGCATCTCTTTAGGCTAACGATGAAGAAATTTTCCAGTACGCTTATCGTATAGTTGTAGCAGAGCACCAGGCGATTGCTTTTCGAGAATACCTCCCTGCCGTACTAGGTGCATCTAGCATACCTCCGTACAAAGGATACAATTCGAGCATTGATGCTAGTGTGTCAAATGTTTTTGCCACGGCAGCTTTCAGGTACAACTGTTTATAAAGCATCTGCAACTGTCTGTTAAATTCTTACATACTTTGCGTTTTCGACAGATCCTATTTCAAATATGCAGAAAAACTAGTGGTAATAAAATATCAGAGTAGCATTCAAAACCTTGTTGTGACACAGAGAGAGACATGTTTTCTAATAAGAAGATATATTTATATATATGATTATATGTAATTATGAATACTCAAGAGAGAGAACCTCTCTCCATGCCTCGTGCTCCTAACTCTGAATCAATACTAACCCTGGACCCAAATGGAGATTTTCTGTCTCCTTCGCAATAAACCTAGCCAAGAAGCTGGTTAGGAACATAGTATACAAAGAACATCGCAAAGAAGCTTTTCGGTAAAATATGAAAGTAGAAAAACCAAATAGATATGATAGCTATTGTTTTATATTGGAATTATGTTATAATGCCTCATCATTTAATTGGTTGAAAAAGTTGCTGAATACTACATAAGCTTAGAGCATCCGATTTTTCCTCGTATAGATAATATCACAAGCTTTCAAAGCACAGGCATATCACACATCATCATAAAGATAATATAAATGTATTTTTCTTCTAGATTCGGGCACAGTCAAGTCAATACGCACATTTTCAGATTTGGCGAGGACTGGAAAGCATTTAAGCATGGACACATACTTCTTAGAGAGAGCTATTTTCATCCTGAAAGGATAGTGAACGAGGGTGGCATTGAGCCGGTGATAAGAGGGATGATAAAAATGCCAGCTCAAAAGATCGACACACTCGTGGTAGACGAGTTAAGAAATGCCCTTTTCCCTGTTGGTCGTAGTAACGGATTGGATTTAGTAGCAATGAATATTCAACGAGGAAGAGATCATGGACTACCTGACTTAAACACTGCACGTAAACTTCTTAACTTGAGAGGTATGCTCTGAAGTATGAGTTATAGTGATTTGTTATCTAAAACTTTCTGTCCTGTAAATACCGTAAAATCAGCTGCCAGTAAATGCTTCCAAGCAGACAATAGAAAGGTTCCCGACCTGTAGAAAAAAAACTTAACAACCAATTATGAGCATTTGCAATTTAATTCATTGTTGAAATATTATCTTACAAGTCCCTATAAGTCAGTTTTAAGTCTTGTTTGTATAGTTGCTAGAAAGTTCTCAAGGTGAACAATTATAAAAAAGCACTTCTAGATAGCAAACATGATTGATGGGAGAAATTTTGTGGGTGTTGTATACTCTACATAAGCCTGTGCTTGAAAATAAGAATTAACATATATATTGCAGCCTACACGGATTTCTCGGAAATAACGAAAGATGCTCAAGTGTCAAGTAAATTGAAGTCGCTCTACAGAGACATCAACAACATCGATCTTTGGGTTGGCGGTTTAGCAGAAGATCATATCCCTGGATCTGACCTTGGGGCGACATTTCACGCAATCTTTAAAGAGGGTGTCTTGAGGATAAGGGACGGCGACAGGTTTTGGTACGAGCAGACTATGTCAAAAGAGGCAAGTATAGGATTTAGGTATTTTGCTAAGGGCAGCTGATGATGGTAGTTGATTTTAACATATTCTGAAAAGAGATAACTGTAATCATTTGTAGTGTAGTTGTTGCGATTTTGTTCCATTAAAGAATTTCTTCCAATTAAGAAGGACGCTAACTGTAAGCGTGAATAAATATCAGTAGCAGATATTTGTTTTTCGAACATAGCTACTTCAAATAATTGTAACAAATTGTAGGTAGTTTATAAAATGCTGTCATTTCTCTGCAGGAAGTCGAAATGATCAATAGTCTTACACTGGCTAGAATCATCAAGCTAAACACAGGCATAAAGGATGTGCCAGACAATGTCTTCTTCTCTGCAAAACTTTGCAAAGCGGTTGTTAATCACGAATGTGTACCACGTGCTTCAGCCAGTGGAAATAATGAAACTCAGAGGATAAAGAAATTGATGGAAGAGAATGCAATTCTGTCTGCAGCAAGCAAGGGTTCTACAAAGGCACTAGATGAAGCAAACGACAAAAGCAGAATGCTAGAGATTCTCTGCATCATTCTTGGTGTATTGACTCTGGCACTGTTGATCATGTATGCTGTGATCTGTATTCGAAAGCGAGGATCGAATGGTTTCAAATTAAGACGTAAGTATGATCCAAGGAGAAAAGCCAGTGATTTAATTGGTCTACCAGGGTTCAAATGATAGCCAGAATTCATAGAAATACGATGTTAATCACACAGTTTGTCTGTTGTTATGCTTAGATGTAACTGCTAACTTAAAACCAATGCAACCTCTAAAACTAGCCGAAAGATTAAATGTATCGGTATGCACTTCGAAAAATTTCAAAAGGTTTTAAAAAAGGAAACATTCAAACATACTTAAGCTGTTCTGAAACGTTGTGAAACATTCTGTGCATATACAGCGTCAGAATAGTGAATTGTTCGCAAATTCATAACTACCTTCATGATCAAAATACAATTCAGTTTCAACCACTTTCTTCTTTGAAAGATTAATATTGTAAGGTTTTTTTATAAGATTTTGTAAGTTTTTTCAATGGGAGTAGTAAGACATTTTTTTGTTAGATGTTTTTCTGTTTTTGTTAGATTTTGTGATATAGCCAGTGGTTTGATGATATTTTTTAGGTAACATAAAGTATCTATGTATTATACGCTAGATGTATAAAAGTCGATCTTTCAGAAAGCTTACCTTATTTTATGCACCAAAACAATTTTAAGAAGTTTGGCTCCAAGAAGGCAGATCAGAACTAGGGACTTGGAGCTTGGAGGGAGCCCTTAGGCATAACCCCCCGAGATTCCTGTCAAGCTCAAGATGTGTCTCTTTTGTGAACGTAAAATTTTTTTCATTTAAAAACTGTTTATGGATTCAACACATGAAATTTGTAGTCATCAAATAGCTGAACTGTTAAGTCCATGTGTGGTATAGCCGTTATCCATCTAATTTACTATTCTTAAAGAACATCCTTTAACTTTCCTAGCTATTATGTCCATATTGGGCCACCAGAGCAAAAGAAGCGAAAGAACCTCAAACTTTATATTTTTTGGGAGCCTTCCCATTTAAGTCTTCAGCGCATGTCTTTATGCCCCCTTATACCCGTGCCCATCCACTTTCAGATACGCTCCTACACATCTTTCTAAATCCCCGTTTCCACTATCCGTTTATCTACAATCTGTTTTTGTTCCATTTGTATCCAATTGCAAAAAAGCGCCAATTTGGAATGGAAATAACAAGCACGATAAAAAATGGAGGTTTTTTAAACACACTACCAAAGCATACAGGAAGTGCTTTCATTGAAATAAGGTTTAAGAAAAACGGATAGAAACCGCTTCAGTTGCTAATCTGTGTTCCAAAACCGAATTTTAAATAATATGTGAACAGATTTCATTCAAAGATGTATCTTATGTTTTTATCTTACTGGACTTGTAACTTATTCTAAAGATATTGTTTAAGGAAATAGCATACTAACATTCATGTAAATAGTTTTTTGCCTTTTGGGGATTAACGTAGAGATTAGTGTTAAAATCATAATATCAAGGCATTTAGATGAATGGAAATTTTTATTGTCAAGACTCTTGATAATGATATGACCTTAAATGGGCGTTTATTGTGCGTGACAAGGCTGGAAAACAACCAAGGAAAAATTCTAAATTCTGCATAAGGTAATGTTCGTTGCTTCGTCAAAATCCAGAAAATCTTTTCCTTTAAGCTATTTTCGTACGAATACCATAATTTATGTTCACCATCTTTTTTCATTTTTAACATTGAGTCTATTTATCATCTTTTACTTTGCTTAAACAGCATCAAGGGTAAATTGTCTTATGGAGTGAAAAGAGGAAGAAAACCTGAATTCCCCAGTTTAGGATGGTTAAACCGCAATCAAAACTAAGATTACCATTTTCTGTTTTATTAATGTAACTCTAAAAATTGTTTCAACCTCAAAATTCTTGTAAACTACATGCTTATATATAAAAGTTTCAATTAAAGAGCATTGTCTGGAAATATTCCGTACAACAACCTTCAACATACCTTGAAAGCCAAACGTACGCTTCAAATTAAACAGAAAAATGAGTGTAAAATGTAGTCAGATTAGATGAAAGTTGTCAAAGTTCCTTCATTCATCACTGTTGACATTGAAGTAACTGAAGTCATATTGTCAGCAATGCTGACTCGGCATTACAGCATTGGTGTGTTTTTGAGGCTTCATAGGTGTGAATTCATTTTTTTGAATCATCATTAATCCTCTTCTTTTTGGCTCAGATATGAAATACTTCCTTATTTTTGTCGGAAAATTTTCATTTATTCATTTTAAAGAAGCAATCTTGTAAATTGATATTTGTTTTTTGGAAAATCATTAAGAATAATTTGCCCTTTTGAATTCCATCTAATGGTTATTTTTTTATCATATTGACAAAAGCTGGACCAAACACCTGCATGTTTGGGTGCAACCCTTGGGAGCAAACCATTAAATTTCTTACTGTCGGATTTAGATATTTAATTTGCATATGAATACGATTTATAGGCATTTAGCTTTTTAAGCCAATTTTGAAGAAACACTGTTATTGATATCTTTAACAGTCTTTTCTAAACTATTCTTTTAGAAAACCTAGTATCGGAATCAATGAGCGCTTTGCATACTATTACCTCATACCATAAACTTCAAACGATTTCATAGATGTCAGAGTTCTTAGTTTTGCAAATTCCGACAATGTTTCAATAAAGTTTATTATGTTTCAGGGGCAGAAAATGGATCAACAGCTCGTGTTGTCATTAATCCCCACATCGAAAATGATCTTGAAATCAAGAGTAATGGGAAACATTTCAAAAACGGAAAGACTGAGAATGGCAGACTGGAAATGGTTTTCTAAAGCCAAGAAGATTGGTGCTTGTGTATCTTGCAATTAAATAATCTGAACTTCCATTTTGTATTTCTTGTGGGTAACAGCAACATCTATTGTCCAAAAAATCAAATTTTATATTTGATGGATTGAAGAGATTTGCAACATTCGCGTGTAAATCAGGCACCGCGCAGCCATTAGGCTAGCAGGGGCTATAGCCCACCCACCTTTTTGCAATAACAGGCTAGAAAATTGAAGGTTTACTCTAACGCAACTTTGGATAGTTTACTCCTATGTAGTAGCAGTTCTCATTGACTGGGAACCATTTTTGTTCTTTTTCTAGGTTTTTCAACTTGTTTAATGATATGATGTATTTTCTAAGCTAAATCTATCTATTTTTATAGTTATTGATATCTTCTCTGAACCAGACTGTTAGTAAAAATTCAAAAGAAATAAGCAAGTATTCTCTAAAATGGGCGTTTTCAAGCGTTCAAGAGGGCATGGCCTCAACAAATTTTCTGTCACACTCATTTCAGCTCCTCCACTTTTAGAGTGGTGCGCGGTCACTGGTATAAATTAACCAGTGTACGAGTTAAGATAGTGGGATTATTTTTCATTTTGCTGCTTCTTAAGCACAGAAGTCTGTATCCGCTTGTTAATGTCAACTATATGCTATTCTGCACAATATCTATGACAATTCACTGGGATGTTATAAAACTAACGCCTTCAAGTTTTAAATTACAGTATCTAGATCTTAGTATTTTTTTTACTTTTGATGTTTTAGGGTGCAGTATCGCCCCACTGCTATTATTTTTCTTAAACAATGTTGTATGAAGGCTTGATTTTGTTCTTTTCGTGGTCAGTATTTTTATATGTAAAAGTGTACAACGTAGAATCAGTTTTTTAAGGGAATGTAGCTTTTTTAGTTACTTGTGAAATGACTCTTGACTGTCAGAAATTGTTTGCTTCTTTGTATAGTACGCAAATTTCGATTTAATTGCTTGAATTCAGGTATTGATTGTTCAATACAAAAGGACTGTTCAAGGTTCTGAACAATATGCTGAATAAAAAGACAGAGTGTCCCCTTTCTAAACATGACTCTACTCTGCAGCTTGTAAATTTATTTATAGATTTCTTTGTGGGGAAAATTGAGAAGATTCAAAATCATTTTGACCTGGCCATGAATAGGGATGGAAATAGTAATGTTGTACCAGAAGAACCCAAAAATAAGACCCAAATGACTACATTTTGTCAGCAAACTGAAGATAATGTTGAGAAACTTATAAAAAAGTCACCAATAACAACATGTGATCTAGACCCAGTGCAAACGTGGATTTTGAGGCATTGTGGGGAACCTTTTGTTAAAATCATGACTCTGATAATTAACACGACATCTCAGACTTCAGTTATGCCAGAACGTTTTAAGTTAGCTATATTAAACCCATATTTGAAAAAGCCAGGCCAAGAAGTTAAGAATGCTAACTTCAGACCAGTTTCCAATTTGCCTTATGCCTCAAAGCTTATCGAAAGGGCAGTTGCAAATCAATTTGTTCAGCATATGGTAGAAAATGATCTTTTTGAGCCATTGCAATCGACATATAAAGAGGTACATAGTACAAAACAGCATTACTGAGAGTTCAAAATGACTTAATGATGGCAATTGATAAACAAAAAGTCTCTATTCTTGTTTTGTTAGATCTTTCAGCGGCGTTTGATACAGTAAACCATTCTGTATTACTAAAGAGGCTTTCCAACAGATGCGGAATTCAAGGGGCAGCTTTGTAATAGTTTGTTTCATGTCTAGAACATTGTTTTCAAATCGTTAAAGCTAAAGACGAAAAATCAAAGAAGGTGCCTCTATCTTGTGGTGTTCCACAAGGAACAGTGCTGAGCCCATTACCTTTTCTCGTATACACGCTGCCCTTAGGAGACATTGTTCGGAAAAGAGGCATGATGTTCCACCTCTATGCTGATGACACGCACCACTATATGTCATTTTCACCAACTCCAGAATGTGGAGCTCTCTCTGTCCTTGAAATTCAGTCCTGGATGTTAACAAACAGTTTTAAACTTACTTCCCACTTTCCATTCAAATTTCAAGGACAAAAATTTTGTTGGAAATAAGCATTGATGTCCCTTCCCACTGGGGCTACTGCTGGAAACAGATTCAACCTAAGGTGCTTTTGCTTGTACTTGAAGGACAGAATTCCTATCCAACCAATGACATTTTGTGTAAACAGGGTAACAAGCCATTGAACAAGGAAGATATTTTCTGCTAACTTTTCATGTGCAAGTCTGTTGACGCCAACGGTTCCTTTAAACAGAGAGTTTAAATAGCACCCCTTTCTACCAAAACCCATCCTAACGAAGATCGATCTTGAAAAATCTATGAATGAATATTATTCATACTAAAAGAATCGTCGACGATTTGTAAAAAAGCGAGGAGCCAAGCATTTTTAATTGTGATTAACCATCCAGTTTGCCAATGTATTGACACTTTGTATGTCAATAGAAATTTTATTTTTCACAACATTTTTATATAACAGCCGTGCATTTTTTGTGCTAATTTTTTTCAGTTTTATTTGAATTTTGATATTTAATTAATATCAATATATTTAGAAAAGTAAATCGAATCTAAGTCAGGTTTCGATTTCTGAATCTCAAAGAAGTCTTGGTATTGAATATCATGTACTAATTGTTTGAATTTAGTAAATTTGCTATTTTAAGCTCGAGAATGTGCATGTTAGTATAAAATGCCAGAATATTAGATCGAGTCAAATTTTATTGGAAGTTATTGACCCTAGTCCTCCAAATCAGATTCTTTGGCCCCAACTCCTACACGCCATCTCGACAACGACTTAAAATTTTTGCCAAAATTGTTGGAACACTTGTGCAAAGCTGAAGCTTTTTTGAAAAATATCCCCTACAGCATAGGCGTACGGGGTGAGTTAAGGTAGGGGGGGGGCTGAAGTTTTTTTGCCCGAAAAAAAATAACGCCCAAATACGAAGTATACTCTAACACATGTAAGCTTCTAATATCAGTCAAAAATGATTAAAATGAAACATCATTAAAATAATGTTAAATAATAAGCATTTTTAGAACAAGCATTTAAGCATTTCACAAGTTTTCATTAAAAAAGTGAATCTCTTCCACGACATCAAATAAACACATCTACTATTTTATCGATATCTTTTTGTGAACATGGCTTGCATCATTTTCAGCAATACACACTTGTTTGCTTACCTGCCTATTCTTGTGATTATTGAACAGTTTGTGTTCCATTTCTTGGAGGTCAGAAACTCATAATCTATTTGATAGAAGGAGCTTTATGACGATTTCTGTCGAATTCTTAGCATTCACGCTTGCATTCCCGGCCAATAGCATATCACGACAATAGCGTAACACAGATTAGGGCACATTGATTCAGCGTTTTTCAGCCTCTTTTTCTACGGCACATTATTTGCGGATAAATTTTTTTTCAACTTTTTAGACCAATTAAGTAAAATTGGAGAATTTTCCACGGCACACTAGGAAATACCTCAAGGCATGCTAGTGTGTGGTAACACAGTGGTTGAAAACATCGCCTTAGTTTGATAACCAAGGGCTCCCAACAGAAGGGGCCCAAGGTGCTTTTACATCCATATCTTTAAAGCTTTGAAAGTTCTTCAACTTTTGAAAGTCTCTAAAACTCAGTTCCATCTAGCTGACGAGATAATAATTCTCATTTTTATCCTTTTCTATTGTGTTTGACATGCTCACACCATTGAATGTGACTTCCTTGCTGTCCGTGAATAGATGTCCCGTAGCAGTTTTTTTGCTTAGGGCACTAGATGCCTGTTACGCCAAAAATTTGTTGAGTCTCGATCACTAAATCGAGCATAAATTTCTTCCAATCCATTACATTGTAGAATCAATTGAACAGATTTTTGCTTTCTAGATGGGTTTTGGGGTCTTTATCCTTGCAAAGAAAATAAGTGTCCTGTCCACTGCCTCTGGCAACCCTAGTGCGTTGCGCTTTGTCCCTATTACCTATATGACAGTTCATGTTCAACTATTACCTATATGACAGTTCGATTTTTTCATCTAAGAGATTTTTAAACATGTTCAAAATGTAGTTATTCTTATTCTTCTTGTTTTTGGAGAAGGCTCCCGCCCGAATTTTGCCCGAAAAAATCAGCAATATTGTTCAATTCGGTTGTTTTGACGCTGAAGATGAATATTTTTTTCACTGGAAGCTGTATGAAAGTATTGAGAAAATGAATCAACATTGTATGGGGTGAGGGGGTCGAAATTTTTTAAGGGGCAGTGATATTTTGGTAAGGTAGTTCTAAAGGGTTGTCGTTGCTGCTGTTGTTGTTGTTGAATTGAATGTCAAAGGTCTAAAAAGGTTCAGTGTTCTTGGCAGAACCCTTTTTTCTCAACTATGGAATCAAATTCTGTTCCAAGATGCTTTGTAGTCGGTGTTGGGATGACAAGGTATTTAGTTTGTTTTTCAGATACTGTCTCATTCGAAAGTTGCAGTGGTGAACGCACTGGGGTTTTTAGGCAAAAACAAAGCCTGGAAGCTGGGATTGAACTAATAACCTAGATAAATAAAACACGTAAATAACTTTTCGTGTTATTAATGCAGCTTTTATTGAATAAAGAGAATGTTAACAAAATAATTGAATATTCCGAAGAGTTGACTGAATTTTCTTTGGCAGTGAATGAAGTGTTTTCACTACAGCAGAAAATTCCTGTAAATTGCAAAGGAAAAGATTAAGTTTGAAAACATCATAGGCATAGCTCATAAAGAAATGATTTCAGTTTTAAAGCCTGAAATTAATCAAACATAACAAAAACATGCCGTAAGAAAATTAAAAATTTTCAAACGATTGCAAGGAAAAATTATGATTCCAAAATGTATTTTAATAAGCTTATCTAACAGGTGTTTTTTTGGTTTTTTATAACCCTGTTTACTTTTTAATTTTTTTTATTATTCTCTTTCTCTATATTATACTGTTCTGTTCTTGTTTTGATATGAATTCAAATAAGTCAATTGCTTGTAATATTTCATAATTAGTTTGGCCTTTAAATTTAACTTGTCTTTTCATTGTTACTATAAGGTTAAATTACATTATTCAATATTTACTGTGCTGGGCTCGAAAACCGTGCTGGTTCCTCTCAGCTTTCTAGGCAGCTATATATTGTTAAAACTATTAGTTATATGGACTGTAAATTACCATGTATATAATTATCTTATGACATAAATTTCTAACTAAGTTGCTGAATATAAAATAAATTTGAATTTGTGTTGTTGCAAATTATTTTTGCTTGCTTAGCTTGCAGGGAAGCCACTTCTTTCTGATGTACTTAAGGTCTCAGACAACCTTTCATCAGCCCTTCCAATGTATTGCTAGCATATAAAGTATTGCTGATATAAAATCATAGGTATACACATACAGTGAAGAAGCATTCAAGTGTGTTTTCAAGAGTTGATTTTTCAGTCAAAAAATGCTATCAAATAGAGCCCCCCCCCCCCACTTTGAATTTATTGGTGCCAACTCTGAAATATGAAGGTACTGACATCTCTAAATGAGAACCATGAATTTGATACAGCGTTTTACTATTGTCTGCAGCCTGTATTCCTGTTCAGTTTCATGATCTGGCAAAGCTTACTACCTTCTGCCATATATTACTCATTTTCTCTAAGAGGTAGCAGTATAGATTGGGTCCAGTCAGAAATTGGCATTTGTGTATTAAACCTTGAACTTCTTGACAATTTAATTCTTAGAAAAGGTTTACAATTCACCAGAAAAGATATGCACAACATAAATAAAGACATTTTGCAGTTCTCTGTTATTTTTGGGTTGTATATCCAACCCATGAACAATGTATCTTTGTTTAAGTGTATTGTATAGTAAGATGGAAATTCTTTATTTCAATTTTTGTTGTTGGATTCAAGGTTTGAAAAGCCTCACACTAAAAAATGGGATTATCCAGGTAAATTAAATGTTTAGTTTCTTTGACACTTTGTATATTCTTTTCAAAATATTTGATATGCTGTTGTGTTGCTATAAAGAAACATAACTGCTATAAAGTTAACATTGCCAAATAGAATATATTATGCAACAATGTAGAAACTGGAACCCTCCATATTGCCATATGCAGCTTTAATTTCAACAATATTTGAGATACATACATTTGAGTTTCTGCTATCATACATCAGAAAAAGATGATGAATTATGGATGTGACCAAAACTATCTAATTTTGTCTTGTTTTCATTACATATAGTTTTCAAAATTGTTTCTAGATATGGTAAAGGAGGCTGGGACTAATGCACTTAAAGACAGTGGACTTAATTATTTGGATGATGTTGATGTTGTTGTTGCAAGTTATTGCTATGGAGAGCCCACATCTGGTGAAATACGCATGCTTATTTTGCATTCCTATTTTATATGTTTGATATTCTTATGAAAATTCGTAGAGCCTCAAGACATCTTACCAAAAGTTTGTGTCGATATCCTGTGATACTCTGTGATGTATCCCATCTTTGATGAATAATGGATCAGTATAAGGCTGGAAAAGATAAATCAAAATAACAAGATATTTCTATGCTAAATAACCAACCTAGAAAATATTTTTCCAGTGGAATTTCTTGTAAAGGACTAGGAAATTGCTTGCCCTTCTGTTGCACAATACCAGAATACAATACTGGTCGACTTTATGCTCTGTTCCCCCTAACTGTGTAAAGAATGAAATATTCTCCATCAATTTTTCATGGTAAGGCTATGACATAAAATTGTCTCTTTTAAAGCTCAACCACATATAGTTATAAATTTGGACCAAATTTGTTTTGAAAAAGCCTCTTGCCCTTAAAGCTTTCCTCTTTGCTTTTTATTTTAAAATTATCCTGCAAACTTTAGTTAAAAAAAACCAGAAAATTTTTGTGGCAGCCATATATTATTGATCATAAGAAGCATACTTTACAATAAGAAGTCTTCTTGGACAGGGGTGGGCTGACAGATTATTGGGCCATTGGCTTAGGACCTCCTGCACAGACAACAAGAGAATAAAAACAAATTGAGCCTGCCCCTCTGTTGCACCCACGAATGCCCTTTGTCCTGGTCTGATGTACCTACGAGTCAATCTGTCCATTCCAGTGCTTAGTTGAATTGCTAGAGTATTGAAAAAGAATTTGAAATTTTAAAATTGATTTTCATAGAAGTCGTATTTTATTCTTGGCTGTTTTATTTTAAAATAGATTTTGCTTGACTTTCAGGGCAGAGGGCTGCCTATGGTAGGTAATGAGATCATTTTTAATGTTTATGATGCACCAGAACTTTATAATTGCTGTAAGGATGCCAAACACTTTATGAAACTGGAATGTTTTATGCCAATTTGTTTAAGGGTTTCATTTTATTGAAAGTGTTGCAAAAGTGCAAAGAAGTGTTGCAAAGTTTCATAAGCAAAAATATATTTTTACGTATAATTGAGAATAAAATTTGCTAATAAAACATGAAAGGTATTAGAAACATGCTATTAAAATATATTGTTAGAAACAAGGTTATTGTTTCATATTCTTTGAACAAGCATTTTTGCTGGTAGCAGGTTGCTTTGCAGCAAACTTCATTGAAAATGATTTCCTGTTTGCTTGAAATGGTTTTAAAGAGACTGTCAGTGTAATTCGGAGGGTATAACAATGGAAATACAGCAGAATTTGAACTGAATGAAACACTTAATTAAAAGTCTCACAGTAATTCCAGTAAAACCTCTTTCTAATTATTGGTGCTGTCTAACAAAGTGTATTACTTGAAATATTATGCTACTTGAAATAGCAAAGAAAAAGCTCTGTATGTTAGCATGTTACTCACTTCAATTATATTGTATATACCTAATATTTTTGCTTTGTACTGATTTAAACCAAAATATGAGTATGCTTTCCAAATCCTAATTTTCATATTGATTTGTAGTGATTGTAACTAAAATATGATTATATTCTATCTAAATCGAATTTTATCATTCACAGAACTTGGCCTCTCTGGTGTTCCTGTTTTCAACACCAATAATAACTGCTCCTCGGCTTCAACAGCCTTAATGATGGCTAAGACCTTCATCCAAAGCAAGCAGTATAAATGTGCACTGGTTTTGGGTAAGCCTGTTTTAAAGTAATTATTTTACTGTATTAAATCAGTTGCAAGGCTAGTTTCCACAAAATTGAAGGCATTTGTAATTTATTTGGCAGAGAATGGACAATTAAAGCCCCATTTCTCACTAGAAGCTGATACACCTGCCCCCTTTCTTTAAGTGGCATATTATGTGATATGCTAGAAGCTTAAACGGTGCTGGAAAAAAATGTTAAAGATGTTGGGGTTATAAAGACAACAAACAAATATTTAAAAAAACAGAATGAGAGTGAGAAGGTCTTCAAAGAGCGAATAGCACTAGTGTAATGACACTCTACCAAGCAAAATGAGACCAACACCATGTTGCGCTCATAAATACCCCTACTTGAACCAAGATAATAGAAATGCTATGAAGCCTCACACCTTACCATAGTATTCTAAATCAAAATGCACCGGAGAACGCCTGAATAATATGTACATGAATTTCATATGTATTCGCTGTTTTCTTGAAGGAGATGTGAATTCGTCCTTTCAGGCTTTGAGAAAATGGACAGAGGCTTGTCAACCAAATATACTGATAGGGTTCATCCTGTTGACAAACATTTTGATCATATGATGAGTCTTGGTGCGTCAGAAGGCCTCATTAACAACAGAGTGAACAAAATGACATCTGATGTGGTTAAGGTACAGATAAAGTATTTTTTGGATTCCGGTCTAAAGTTAGAAGGTTAGTTATTGATGCATGATGGTTATAGAGTTGGTGTTTGGTAGTATGATTGGTGTATGGTATTTTTTAGTGATTTTAATGGTTGAGGTATGGCAATTATTGAGTTGGTGGATGGTATGGTTGATGTATGATAATTATTGGGTTCTTGGATGGTATGGTTGATGTATGATAATTATTGGGTTCTTGAATGGTATGGTTGATGTGTGATAATTATTTGGTTCTTCTTGGATGGTATGGTTGATGTATTGATAATTATTGGTATGGTCGATGTATGATAGTTATTGGGTTCTTTGATGGTATCGTTGATGTATGATAATTATTTGGTCCGGTCTATGGTAAAGTTGATGTATTATAGTAATATAATGAGTGAGCCACAGTAAGAAAGTGTATCATTGTTCTGTTGAAGATAGAATGCACATTGTTAGTTGTTTGATATTCCGGTTTTATAGTTTCCTGAGTGCAAATATTAAATAACGAATCAAAATGATTGATTTCAGTGTCAGTGGTCCAGATTGTGATCGGATTTTTTTCAAATTAAAGATGCAATTGCACTTCGAGTTATAAGTAAGACAACTGCAGCCTTGCAATTTTTTCAAGCTTAGTAGCATAGTCTGTATTTCTTCATAGCTCTTTGCATATGCCGCAAAGGAGCATGCCGTGAAATTCAATTCAACGCCTCTTCATCTGGCCAAGATCGCCTACAAAAATCACTGCCATAGCGCTAATAATCCATATGCATGTTTGAGGAAAAAGTTTCCGCTTGAGATGATAATGAAGAGTCCGATGATATGCGATCCAATAGCATTGCTAATGAGTTCCCCAACCGCAGACGGAAGTGCTGCTGCCGTTGTTTGCAGCGAAGAGTTTATGATCGCTCGTGGTTTACAGGTGAGCAATGTCAAGGAAAGGTGGAGGTAGGCTAGTAGTTATCTTTGAGAGGAGTAAAAAATCTATAAGTGCAATGCAAACTGCTTGTCTTTCAAAGCACCTTTGGCAGGCATTTTCGACGATTATCTGCCATTTTTCGAGTGTAACAGCCTTAGTTTTCCTAAGTGCATTGAAATTGATCTTATTCGGAAAGATTCAGTAAATTTTGAATTGTTTTCTTCAACCTGTGAAGACATATGCCATTTGAGGTCTTCTTCTTCATCCATTTTTACTCCTCTTTTGCTGACTCTGCCATCAAGAAACCTATGATAGAATCTATTTGTAGCATATCGAGCTTTTAAACCTGTGGGGATATCATTATTTTATTGGGAAACAACTGTTGCCTACTGCTTATCATAGTTTAGGCAATCCTTCTTTGTTTCTGAACTAGAAAAACGCCGTGGAGATTGTTGCTCAGGAAATGGTTACTGACTTACCATCATCATTTGGAAAGAGCTTTATCGATCTGTCCGGTTATTCAATGGCGAAACAGGCTGCTCGGCAGTGTTACTCTAGCAGCGGCTTGTCTTCCACGGATGTCGATTTATTGGAGGTTCATGACTGTTTTTCCTGCAATGAGGTAAACTTACTCTCTTTTCTCAAGATTTTCTAGATTTGATCCCAACAAGAGATTCTTCAAACACGAGTCTTTCTTTTGTACCCCTTCTCTCTGGTTATAATTCTAAAGACGCTTTAAAAACCTATTCGCTTCGTGAAAACTGTTGAGCATGGCATTCAGTTTGGTCTTTAACGTTTAGTTTTCTATTTAAGATGTTGATGTATGAAGCTCTTGGTTTATGTGATGAAGGCAAGGGTGGTGAATTGATCGACAAAGCTGAATGGATAACTAATACAGAGGGTGAGTTTTTCCTCTTGGCTTCAGCTTCACACCCCCTTCAAGCTATTTGCAAGTAGAAAAGTTTTTGATATGACATTTCTCTATGAGATTAATTTGTTCGCTTTTGAGCATCTGTAAAATGTATTGTACCTTTACTGTCGCAGAAAGCAACAGGTAGACTTTTAAGTAGCCGAGTACACTCATTGTTCATATGAAATTGAGCTCGGGATTAACACTCAGTTTTTTAGCTTTTTTATTTCAGTGCAAACAGTGTTTTAAAGGTTTCCTAAACAAATACTGTAAAAACTACTTTTTAGAAACACAACAACGTAACATGAGATTACATGAAAAGGAGTGAGTCACGAGGAGCCCTATTAAGAAGATCTAGGAACATTTCGGTGATTGGCATACACCCAATTCTAGTTCTTATCAAATGTAATGGTTGGCTGTTTACGCAAACGCCATTGTACTCACTAGTGTTCCTTGCGTGAAATTTTGTGAATTCCTTAGTAGATTTCTTCAGCGCAGTCAAGTTGCACTCTTTTGATGTTCTATATTCCTTAGGCGGTGAGTTGTGTTTGTTGGCTAATCGCTGGGTCGTCAATCCATCCGGGGGATTAGAATCCAAAGGTGAGTATATTAGTTGATAGGTACTAAAAATTCTGTAGTTCAATTGTAATCATCAGCGTAAAGTTACGTAGGGTTTTTTTTGGCTGTGCTTGAACAACAGGCCATGATCGAAGGCTGCCTCAATCTACTCGCAGGATAGCAATTAATGCGTAATACCTTATTGCAGTTAGGCTCCTTATGGCAGTTAGGGTATATAAGCGTAACATCGCTAGCCTCCTTCACTGAATATAGATCTTGATTATCCTTGACCTTGTCAACGCTGAGGTTCAACGCAAAATTCACGCCCTTTATTGATTTAAAATGTCACTCAGCATAGAAACGTAGGATGATGACGAAAAGGTATTGGAAATGTTTGTCCTTGTGTGTGTCATGATATTTGCATTCCTAAACGTTAATGGAAGCATTGAAGGAATTTTTGATGGTTTTTTTTACAGGGCATCCTATTGGAGCCACTGGGCTCGCTCAATGCGCAGAGATCAATTGGCAGGTATAAAATGCTTCATAACATATGTTTTTTTCTGTAACCCCACCTCTCTTCCATCTGGATATTTTTCTTAGCTCATGTAATACTCGACTATTTTTGCTTACAATATGAAGGAAAGGTTTCATAAAAATCAAGGAAAAGACAGAGGAAGTTTTAAGGAACTGCTATTTTTGTCAAGCCTTAAAAAAGAGCAGTCGGCTCAATTCCTTTTTCGTAATGTTCAGAAAAATCATTCATTCAACACGTTTTAGGAGTGACTGCATTGTCGAATGAGATGAAATTTGAAAAGAACAATTTGTTCATTATCACAAGGCTGCAACTTGGCAGTCAGAAAGTATACTTTCAAGCATCTGGCTTTGCCCCAAAAACGCTCGCCCATGCTAATCCTGGCAAACATCATCCAAAGGTTACCCTGCAGTCACTCACTAAAAATATCATGTTTTTGTATTTGTATGTTTTTAAAAGTTGACTCGATTTTATGTCAATAACCGATCGTGAAACAGCTAAGAAGCAAAGAAAAAACCGTAGACTTTTACCATTGTCTTTGAGACCAATGACATGTCACTATCACTATCACTGCCACTATTTTCATTATGATATCTTCGTTAAGAATATTAATAAAATTTGTGTCATAGCTCAGAGGTATTGCTGGTAAACGCCAAGTCGATGGTGCACGTGTCGGTATGCAACACAATTTTGGAATCGGTGGAGCCGCTGTTGTAACATTATACAAGAAGTATCGTGATACCAACGATGGATCAGCTTTGGCTTCAAAGTTATGACCTACATTGATAATGATATCTGAGTGATATGACAACTTTTCCAGGGAACTTTTTGAAAAAAGGAAATAGTGCGTCTTATAACAAATTACTGCGTGCTATATCTAGCAATTTGTCTCTTGATTGGTCTGTATTGATGCACCACCTAATGGTGCTAGGAACAGGTTTGATTCTAAATTTAGTAGAATTATAGTTTCGATTTATAATTTAGCTACACTTAGTAAAGTTAAAAAACTTTGGTAACATGGTCTTTCCCAATGAACTCTTCTCTCCCTTCAGCAAATTTTATTGTCTTTTACATAAAATATATACATTGTTTTTCAGCAGACAGAATATATTTTTTTCGGTATATTCCCTTCACTGAAATAGATTTCGGAAGGTATTGATAACATGTGCTTGAATTCCCTGTCAAAAATGGACTTTCAAATAAATGAAAATTCTAAACTATATCAAAGCTTCATTGCCTCTTAATTTTTATTTTAAAAAACTCCAGATATCTTCTAAAAGATAGTTTACTTTTTACAAAATAGCTGCCAGAGTTTTTTATTAAATGTTTTTATAAAAAATATCAATTTTATTGTACATTAAAGTGTTTGCGAAATAGTTTACATTTAAAACGTGTAGTAATTTCTATGCCATTCAAAAGATTTCAACCTATTGATGATAGTTGTCCTAAAGTTTCTGGCCGATTTATTCAAGCTTGCAAAGAGTAGAAGAAAGATTGAAACCTTCCTTAGTGAACAAACTGATTTGAATGCTATTGTTAAGTAAATGGCAGCTTGTTGGAAACAGTGCTGTTAAAGTGATGATGATTGTCATCTTAGAAAGATGAATAAACCTAGCTTTGCAAAAAGGTAACGAATTCAAATTATGTGACGTGGTGTGCTTTAGCTTAAAAGATGCGCTCAATTTTTGGGCCTAAGTATGACTGTTTCATAAATAAATGACGTAAACTTGGTGGCCATTTCATAAGCAAATCCATTCAGAATTCAATACAGTCATGTGTGAATTGAAACCCATATGGCTACAAAGATGCACCTATAGACATATTTCTTTGTGTTGTTGGGTCAAATGTGGCAAGTACCATCTTGGCACAAGCGGAAGACACTCACTTGCACCTTTCATTACCTAACATTCTTTGAAACACCAAATATCATAATTGGAACACTTATTATTCAGTTTGATATTTTGTAACACAATCCTAGATGCAAATCAAATTAACTGCCTATATAAATTTAGATGCAACACAAGTTTCACAAAATAACAGTATTTTGTCAGTATGCAGGTAAAGTAACGATTGTTATGCTGTATTAATTCAATGTTTAAATATGTAGTGAAGTTAACTGGTTGATTTATGCAGTATTTTTCAGTGCTTTATGGTGTAAAATATGGAAGTAAAATTAGTCAATAAGTTCTACGCAACAATACAATAATGAATTTTGTTTAATAGAAAAACCTTGAAATACCTTTAGTGTTTTTTTCTGGTACTTTTGCATTAACGCCAGACGTTAATGAATAGACCTTTATTAGCCCGGAGAATTGACGTAGAAAGTATTTTAAACGCGGGGGCAGATGAAGTCAAAAGGGGGCACTTCTGTGAACTGCAAATAGGCACTGTACTTCTGTTTGCTAAAATTTGGGAGCATGTGGCCGCTGTGCAAAATCAGACTGAGTGAGCTTGGAGAATTTTAACCTAATAAACCACTCACCCCCATTACAAAATCTTAGGTAGCGAGTGTTATTAGTTTTTCTGACGACACGTGCATCTAATGATGTAAATACTAAAATTTAAGAAATAAAGAAAGTAGAAATTATGTACAAATGTGAAGGGAAGGGGGGCGGCCTTTCGTTGTTTGTTTCATCGGTCAAAGTATATGATAGGGAGGGGAGGGGTGCAGACAGGTGGCTAAGAAAGGGAGAGAAGCAGTAGAAGAGAAATGGATGTCTTTTGTTAGTTAAAAATGAGGGTTTGTTAGATACAGATGTCAGGGTGTTTAAAAAGGTTTTGCTAAGAGGAATCAGGGTTGAATGGAGGAAAATTACTCAAAAACACTCCCGGCTAACAATGAAGCTTTTCTAGTTAACAACATCAACAACAATTAAAAGTTTATCCGACCAGGTGAAGAATCATGGCGGCTATTAACGCAAACCCATCACATTTACTGAAAGTAGTTGCTTCCTCTGTTGCGATTGCAAGAAAAGCAGGATCTGTAATAAGAGGGATTATGAAAGGTGGAGACCTAGGGATTGTTGATAAGGTACAGTTCAATAGGTTTTCTATTTCACGCAGTCTAGGCCTAAAAACCCGGTATGCAAATCTTTTCAATTTTTTTTTAGTATGGCAAGTGCACACCCAAATTTTTTTTCTAAAATGTCCCTGGACACCAGGTAAAGGGTGTGGCATTTTGAAATCTGGGCGTGACATGGTTGTACCCTATATTGGTTAGACTTGAATTTTCTCAAAATCGACATTACCTTGCACTGGTTTGATAACAAATTAACTAACAGTCGTGTACATTTTCTGATCTTCGTGTTCATTTTTGCTTTTAATTTGATATCCTTTAAATATCCTTGGTCCCTAGCATAGCTGAACACACTTTTGTGCTCAATTGAGGTACAAACTTATACCAAATTGCACACTTGAAATTGCTTGCGATTGAAGTATGAAGAAGTCAATATTTTTAATACTAATTCATGTTTTAATAAAATAACACATGATGGAGTGCAGTGTAGATAACCCAGTTCAGTTCAGTTCAGTTTCATATTTTAAATTCTCCACATACAATTTATCATAACAAAACTAATTAATACAAACAATTTACTAAACTACAATAACAACAATAATAGTATTCAGAGCATGGGGATGGTGAGCCCAAGATGCAGACATTGTATGGATGAGCCCAAGTGCACATAAAAACATGGCTTTATTCAGTTTAAATCTGGAAAAAACTGATAGCTATGGTGTACCTGGCATTTTTGGGTGAATTTTGGGTACTCACACCTTAGGTGCAGGGCTGTTGGTACACCCAAGATCTCGTCAAAAACCGTCATACTCTGCAAACTGGTAGATAACTAAGCCTACACTACAGGGGGGCAACATTATTTTGCTTACAAGAACATAAAAATTTCATTTTATTATCATGATGCATTAGACTAAGTACATTAAACCTAAGTCCACTACCAAAAAAAATTCAGCAAACTCTTCACCAGAATGGTGGTACTTTCCTGGCCCCTTCCTTTTAGAGTTTGTGTCACAGGTCTGGTTTAGCAACAGGCCAATCATTTTGAGGTGCATTTTGTTATGCACCTGCTTCTCAAAAAGTAGCGATGTCGTGCACCTCAGCCATTTGCAAAGCTTAATTTTTTATCAGAAACTTTGTCTTGTTGTCCCAGGAATCATCTTTTTATTACTGAATTCACAATTTGGGAATAAGCATGAAACAATATGTAAATAATAGAAAACTTTCTGTGCCGCCATGAATTACTAAGGGGGTCATGGCCGAGTAATGTGCTTTCAAAATTTGACAGATTCTGGGAAAAATCATTGTTCTATCAGAAAATTCTCAAACTTGTGCTGTGGGTTATTCTCAAACTTTTAGCAAATTACTTGGACATAAATTACTTGGACTAAAGTACTTATCATAATTTTGAGAGGCAATTCACTTTTGTAAAGAAAATACTAGATTTCCGCAAATTAAAATGATTTCCCAGGATTTACCGATTCCTACCATAGAGTGATTTGCTGCTTGGAACTCGTCAGTTAAAATCTGAATCTTCAAGGGCCAAATTTTGTTATGGAAATTGGGCAATATTGGTCATAAATTATTCCTTTATTTATTATTGTAGGCTGGGACAGTGCCAATTTTGTGCCTATCACCAGAATTTGAAAATTTATGCAGTTATGTTGCGTAAGGTAAAACAAGGAAGAAGTCAATCATAACCATTACTTTCTCCCAGTGGATGTTCAATTTAAGTATAAGATTTTATAATTAAAATTTGCTTCAAATAATGCAATTTCCAGGGCATTTGAAGCATTAGATATTAAAATTTTCCTCTTTGGCTGCAACCATGGTGCCACCTCATGTAGTGACTTCATTATACCCTTGCCCTTATCTACAGATTTCAGACTTCGTCCACTGTAAGTATGAAGAAACGGAGGCAAACTAAAATTTTCCAGAAAATTTTCCTTTCTGGCTCCCTCTAAAAGTCATTTTTCATGATGCCCCTGTGAATTACCCTCATGAAGGACAAGAAATATCTTAAGCAAGTGATTACAACTATTTCTTACTTCACACCTTACATTAATACGTTTTTGCACTGCTAGAATGTGATATCAAACTTTTTAAGGTCTAAGGCCATCATTATCATAAATTCATACATCCCATTTCTTTCACTTAGAGGGGAAATAATTCATCTAATTATTAACATAATTTACTTTGTCTAGAATGAACACAGTTCTGGAAACTTTGACCCACAAACTGAAGCTGATCGTGCTACACAAAGAATAATTGTTGGATCTCTAACCAAGCAGTTTCCAGGCTTAAAAGTAATTGGTGAAGAGGTAGTGTAATTATATATATGTTTTGCTGATCACCTTCAATGTATGAACTTGTTTGAAATTTGTTTCTTTCAAGTATAATTAATAGTGTTGTATCTTGACCTTCTTTGCTAAAAGATGGATAGTTCTTAGGCTTGGTACTTTGCTAAATGATGAGTTTGCTTGACAAAGAATGGATGTAGCCCTCCTATAAACACTTTCAGACATCCCCTGCTTTTAGCACATTCAGCTTTGCTTTGCTAAGAATTCCATTGATTGTTTTTGGTTGTTAAAGGAAGACTGTGATACTGCAGATGATGCATCCTTGGTGTTATCTTTGGATGAAGAAGTGTTGCAGCAAAAATGCCCTGATGAACTTGCAAGGCTAAATATAGAAGATGTAAGTTTTGCCATTTTGTTTGTGAACTATATTGTTATTTTAATCTGAAATTAATGCTTCAAGTTTAAGCAAGAGGAACCATATGTTTTAAAGGGTACATGTTGCTCCCAAACTTCCTCTTACAAATAGGCTTAACTTAGGATTTAGAATAAACAGGTGAGGCTTTGCAAGAATTAACTATGATTAAAATATGTCAGTCAACCCAAATTCTTTTTCACGAAAGTTATTACTCATTTGATTAAAAAAGACCTCAGTTTTCTTAATTTGTCTAACAAAACTTTCAGAACTTAGATTAAACAAAAGAATTGCTTCTTCAGTTTGTGCCCTGTGACATGTGGTTTCCTATCTGTGGCTTCCTATTTTCACCTGTTCAATTGCAAATGAAAAATTCTTTTTGAATTGTGTTTAAAATTTTTCTTGACTTTCCTCATTAATTTTATTTTCCTTTTTTATTGTCAGCTGTGGATGATTTAATTCTCTTTTGTTAAGATCTGACCATTTCCTTTATATGGGATATCACCTTTGTCAACATCCTAGAAAAGTGATTTTTCCAGCAAGAATCATTTGTAGCAAATTTAGATTTAGATATACCCAATCAAATGTTGTTCATCAATTCCTGGCCACCCGTTGAACACAGAAATAAATTTTGATAAGCTCTTGTTTTACTCTGTTGACCCTGAATGCCTGCGTGCAGACTTGAAGGAAAGTTTGAGTCTGCATGCAGGCTATGAATATAAGAATCACTAGGTTATATTAAGTCAACCTTATTTACTGGTTATATTATTTAAATGTTTCAAGTCAAGATCCAATAAATAACCTACAGTGTAGGTATTATTTTTTTGAGGCATCTTTTAAAGGTAGCAGTATTATAACTGTTGACATTCTTGTTGCATAGACACTTAAACACCAACAAATATGTAAAGTAATGCTGGACGAAATGAATTGAAGCATAGACTTCTTTTGCATGTAAGCGAATCCGTAACCCTTCAATAGGGGCAGGCCAGGGTCTGCATCTTTGTTCTTAACGGATCTGAAGCCTGCACTTCTGATAGTGTCTTCCTAGGTAGATCACAACCTTCTCCGTCTTGCTTGCTTTAAGATAAAGTCACAGGCTCTTTGGCTTCTTTTGCAGTTTGCCTTGTTTACTGACTGGATTTCTGGATGTTTACTCTGTTTGGATGTTCACTATTCTACGTCATAATCACCTTAATTAAATAATTGTTTAATGTTTCATATAATTGAGTTCACGAAAGTGGACATGCTACTTAGAACGCACTACATGTAGAACGATTTTCCCTTTTATATTATTTGTGTTTCTTTACTTTCCAAACTCTTTTAACAGCTTGTGGTTTGGGTTGATCCGTTGGATGGTACAGCAGAGTTTACTGAAGGTATGTATCGCATTTTTCTATCAGCTTCTCAGTACAACATTCATCGTTAGTCAATCGTCTGTGCTAAAGAAAAGGCAGCTCATTGCAAATAGCTGCTGCTGGTAATGCGCGGTATCACTCATCACCTTAAAATGTCAGGCCTATTGTCACCGTTGCTTAAACTAGTTAATGTGAAAGCCCCTCTATGCCCAAAAGTTTCAAGCGCCTACACTTCCAGCGCTTCGGATAGATTACTGAACATGAATGAAATAAATCTATTTTGCTAAGCTTTAAGACCATTGAAGGCATAGATTATCTTAATTAATGATGTATCAGGGTGATAGTTGTGCTCTTTGATGAGCTGTCAATCAAACTTATATGTGATTGTTTGCAAAATAAAGTTACGCAAACGGGATCAGCGGGCAGCTGCTTGGAAACAAAAGTAAAGTTTTAAAGAAGTCTCACGATTACCACTAGATTTTTTGACAGCCTGGTGAATTTTATTCGCGTTTGTTTCAAAACAAATGGACATGCTGATATAGATGTATAAGTAAACAGACAAGGATTTTCACAAGTCTCTTATTGCACTTCATACAACATGTATATAATGCCTTTTCTTTATTGCTTCTTTCTAAAATATCCCTTTTAGAAACATTCAACACGTTACCTTCATTTTCTTCTAAATTTTTCTCGCCCTCTGTCTCGATTTTCTCCTTAGGAGTTACTGGAATATCAAATTCTATAAGCTTTTATGTTTTCGTATCGCTTGTTTAACTAATTTTCTAGCCTTCTATTCAATTTCAGTCACAAGTTAATAAGCCCTAAGGCCTATTTCTTTTATCTACTTTTCTCACTTTCAAACATTTTCACACGCACTCTCCCTATACTGGAGACATTGATATAAAGATATTGGCCAGTAGAAATCCTGAAGGTATAAATTGGCAGTTTAAAATTTCGACATATATAGACATGTATTTACAAGCGCCTAAAAGTTTGCTCTTTCAAACAGTGGCGGGAATTGCGGGGTGTGTGGGGGGGGAAACACCCCCCCCCACATTTTTCCAACTTGTCGGTTTTTTCGGTAACATTATGTCATTTGTTGGCAAATTTGCTTGCTTTTGTGAAAATTGCCCCCCCCCCCTTCTACTTGAAAAATGAATTTCCGCCACTGCTTTCAAAGTACTGTCAACCTAATAAGAATATCTGAAATATCTAGGCGTGTTTTCTGTCATTTTAGAAAAGTTGAATCGAGGTTATTTTTTCAAAGTCTGGATCGATATAATAAGAAGTTTTAAAGCCTTGTGTTGATACTTGTGCTTTTAGAAGTTAGTTTGTTTAAAATTTATTACACGCTTTTTTATGAGAAGAATCCTGATAAGAAACATCAGGCTGGGATTTACCCAAAAATAAGACCAACTTAAAAAATTCTTAATGTGATCTTGATATATCTAAACACTACTATGCACAGGAAATTCTTTTAGTCTGAATTTATGCAAAAGACAAGAAACTCCCGGCTGAAAGTTGGGCCAAGTGTTCTTATGCCAAAAAGCGTGGTATATTTTTTATTGTGATGTGGCCTGTTCACGTTATTTATTACTTTTTTGTTATAGTTTTAAACGCAATATCTATGTTTTATTTCTACACTGCGAATTTTGCTGAACCACGTTGGAAGATTAGATTCCTAATAGTCAATTTTGAGTGTTTTTACCATATTTCTAATAGGAAAACATTCGTTGAAAAGAAGTTCAGCTAGTTTGTGCATAAGCTGTTAACCTTTAAGAGTGACAGGCTTTTCAACGGCTTTGGCAACCATTGACGTTTGTATTGTAAAAGTCATCAGTCGACTGCGAAATGTCTCGACATTATTCTCATCAGAGTGCGCTAAAATACGCCATGTTCTAGGCCCATAAACTACTAATAAGATTGTTGCGTTTGCAATGAACACAGCTATACAAAAAGGAAATTCAATCAGCTCTTTTAAAGAGGTTGTGCTTGAAACTGGTAGATAGAACAGCCACGTAAGCGAGATTACAAACATCCCCAAGCCAATGTAGCGACCTTCCCTGAATTCCCGCGGAAGATTTCTTGCTTTAAAGGTGTAAAAGATGGATGTCAGCGATATCATACCAGTATACCCTACAAGTAAGTTGGTCGGGAGTGTAACATTGACACATTGTATTAAAATGCTGCGGGACTCTTCGTTAATCTCGTGAGATAACGCGGGTGGTTCAAAAACAAATGACATTGTAGATATGAGAACAGCTAGCCCGGCCATCGAAGACACAATCATCAGCTGAAACTTGTTCGATAGCATTAGTATAACACTACGCCGTTTTACTCGGTAGTTGATTTTGAAAATCCGCAGCAACCTGTCTGCTTTTGTAAAAATTATCGAGTTTGATATGGCGAACAGCACACCGAATATTAGCGGTTTTGAGTAGCAAATCAGCAAATTTGGCTTGATTAGAAACAGCAATGGATATAGAAATGATAGAGTTGATATCGTTAGTTGCAGAAGAGACAGGTCTCGATTTGAAGATCGCACAAGGGGCGTGTCTTTGAACAACACAAAAACAAGCATTCCGCCAAGGCTAAAAAGTGAGCCTATTGCAGATAAAGCGATTATCACTATTCCATGAAGAGAATTGAACCTTAGGTACTTCTCTTCCAGCTCTAAGCAAGTGGTCTTGTTTTCATTTGAAATACTCAGTTTGGGACACGACTTGCATTTTTGGTTGCCATGCGTATCCTTGTATGTGTCTTTGGGACACTTTAGGCATTTCCAACAACACTTTTTGTTCGTTTCAGTCAGTGCATAATATCCCGGACCACATTCGTCTGCACACCTTGAAGGCGGCGCACTCGAACTGCTCCGCGCGAAAGAGACTATTGTCTTATTGGAAAACGCGATCTGTCGACTTTCACTGTCCCACTGACCAACTATTTGGAATTCAAGTTTGCCATCTCTAGTTTGCCTCGTATTGACAAGTGAATAAGCAGCAGTATTTGGATCTCCGTTTTGATTGAAGTGTACATTAATGCCGGTTGATCCTTCAAATTTGAGCTTTTTAATTGCTTCCAATAACATCGAATGTAATGGTGTTTTTTCAAGACTGGAGATATTTTGGTTCTCAGACAGGATTCTAGCTAGCCCATTAGCAACAGCGTACACCGCATCAATAACATTAGGTATTTTAATTCTTAATGTACCGGAGGAGTTTTGGAAAGGGCTGGAACTCAAACACGAACTTGAAGATTCGCTACGACTGCCATTGCAATGTCCTGCGTTATAGAACAGCTGATATGATTTTAAATCTTGAATCGACTTTCCAACTATATAATTTTCGAATGGTGGATAGAATTTCATTAAAGGTATAACTCCGAAAAGACCCTCCATGACATTTGGGCCACTGTGAAGGATCTCTTCGTCACCAGCCCAACCTTCAGTGGCTATCCATGTTTGCCCGTACAAATTTACATTTGCTGCTGCGCGAATGACTGCCCGCGCGCTTGTTCTGCCGCACCACAGGACCGTAACATTTGCTGCTTCGCTGTCTGAAAGCCTTTTAACAATGTTCTCCATATCACGCGAGTTCGCGCCTGTATTAAACGTGTTCATTAACGCTACGCACATCCCATTGTTGGCGAGCTGTGGCAGAAAGTAGTCAACTCCAACTCTACCATACGAGTCGTCCGATGCTAAAAGGTTGATATACTTCCAGCCGTAATGCTTCAAAACATCAACAATAAACTTAGCTTGAAAATTATCTGGTGGTATGGTGCGAAGAAAGCTCGGATGGTATTTTTTGACCGACAGGACTGTGCTTGTCGAAGAGTAACTGATTTGCGGCACACCGTCGACGCTCAAGAGCGTAGAAACAGCAGACGATATTTTAGATGAAGCCCCACCGATAACTGAAACCACTGAAGGTTCAAAGGAGCGGCAACTGCAGTTACTATAATTTTCGCGTCCAGGTTTTTTTGACTGAGTTGTCTCCGCCCGCTCATTTTTCGTATCCCCACCAAGAAACAGTTCAAGAACGCTTAGTTGCGCAGTCGATATCATATTGCAAGTATCATAAATTTTGTACCCAAATGTCTTATTTCCTGGTAGCATTTTCTTATCATTAATTTCATTGATAGCAAAGATCATCGCTTCAGCCCAAACGGCGGCTTGTAGATTGTAGCTGTACGAGTCCGATGCAGCGTTGTACAAGTGAAGTGGAAATAAACCAGCTATTGTGAAGTCGCCTTCTTTCACCAATTTTTTTGGCGTTGCACAAATGTCAGTCAAATTCGAAAACACTGTGGCAAAAACTGCAAAAATAATCGCTGTTTGTAAGTAGTTTTTTGCGTGCGGCATTTTTCTCAACCCGAATTCCGTTTCGTGAATCGAAGCTCTTAAGTTTCAACAGCTTTGTTTGTCAACCCGTGGTGCTTTCTCTTGCTGTAAATCACTAGATGCATGCTCTTAGCAGAAGCTGAAAGGCAAACATTTGAACGCTACATGATCAAAAGAATGGTCCCTTTCGACATTGCCTTTAAAACATTGTAACAAACCTTCCGAAGATAGACTCGATGTCGTCACATGAAGTTCTCTAGACTACATCAAAATATCAGCAACCTCACAGCAAATACATAAAAATATTTCAAATTTATGTAGATGTGCCCATAACATCATCTGTCTTCTTCTCATTCTAACGAGCTCTTTGCTTTGAATATTTGACTTTGTTTTTCTGCGTCGGCGAATGATTTGACCTGCCGTCCCACACTTTCCCCTTATGACACTTGGTCAATATCTGCGTTTCTCGTGTGATATCACTTGTCTATAATCTGCATCTTAGTCTGTCGCTTGATCGTTACAGCTGCCGCTATGAAACGATTTTGCACTGAACTCTCTCTGTTCCAAGACAAGCAATCACTATCATCTAATCCTATAAGTTAAGTCAATGTTATGCGTGCTTTAAGTATGCCTCGTGGATCTTGTGTATCCCGTCGCTACACCGCTTTCTTGCACAACCTGCACCTGTTCTTGACAACAGACCAATAAGACTGTCTTGTAATTGAATTCTGCTCTTTTTGTTGTCTAGCTTCTATCTCTAAGTATAAACAGGATCTTTCTCGTTAAGGTTTCTAATCACGTTTCGTCGCTGAATTTTTCATCACTGACATATGCAAATGCAAATAGATATCCGGTCAATTCTTTGAAGCTAGTATTGCCGTGGAAGAATCGTCGTAGTTTTTCGATGTGATGGCTGAAAATGGCGATGAGGCATCCATAAATTTCCTTTGCTGCTTCTGTAGGCAATTGTCCCATTCCTTGGCAGATTAACTGTTGCTCAAAGAACATGTAATATTGAGATGTAAAAGTCGCTTTCGTTCCAATTTCTGGCTGCTTTTTGTTGTTAATGTGATTAATGTTGCAATTTGGTTAAATTGGAAATCTTGGTGGTGACCAATGATGTATTTGTTGCATTAGTCAAAAGCACATATCATCATTTAATGGCGTAAATATAAGAACCTGAGACAACCGTGTCCATTTGCTAATAATAAGATCCCTTTCAAAACAGTTAAAGTATTGAACCAAAAGTAGAAGAATATCACATGACGTGTCCCGTCTTTTCATCATAAAACAGTCGCAAAAAACAAACCAAAAGGAGATCAGTTCATGCATTAGTTTAATTCTCATATAAAACGCGTTTAATCTTTGGATCGTAAAATATTGTTAGTGGAAGAGAAGGGATTTAAATGAATGCGTAACACTGTTTCTTTCCGTCATACTACCTGTTTGTAACGCATGCGCTCAACGCTGATGCTGACTCGGATTTTCTTCTTAACGGGATCTCTTTGATGAAAATTGTATCCAAAATACTTTTCTAGTTTTGCTGTTTGTTAAGCAAAACAACCAAAATCCGGAATTTCTGTTCAACATTTTCTAAATTATAAACTAGTTTCGATTTGATAATTTTAACTAATTTTTGTTTTGATGTAGGAATAGGCGACAGTTTGTTTATGATACATGACTCTTTGACGTAACCGTTATGAATCTGAGATATTCTGTGGTAGAAATGTAGCCGGAGTCGAAACTCAATAAGAGAATACTTCTAGTGGTTACTTGTATGAGATCTATCACAGAATAACCAAAACACAACAAAACAGAAGTACAAACAAGGGCGGATATACGTAACGTTCTTAAGGCGAATACCGGGGGTAGATGTAAGGCAATAACTATACTCCCTAACACTTCGATATCTGCTAATTTCTTTACGGAAATGATGAAATAACAAACTCTGTTCCCAAAAACTTAGCTAGGTTGGTTTGAATATGATTTTTTAGGCTGCAGAATTTTTATAGTTAAATTTCGCTTTGTTTCATCTTCTGAATTCGCTCGTAGTCTTTCAATAATATTTGTTTGGCATTTTCACAGTTTGGTATGATCCACAACAGTTCTCAGCGTTAGTCAAAAACTACTTTTCTACTAATTTGAATATCTTGTACATGTGGGTATTAACTTTGTTTTAGTTTCCATATTTCCCAAACCTGACAGTGAATGAGTAAATGTTTCGCATTTTTCCCAAACCTGACATTGTTTCAGTTAATTTTCGATTATCTGACTGATTATAATTATGTTAAAAAAGCTCCGATAAGCTTCTGCGTAACGAAAATTACATCTGAAAACTGTTGCCAATCCATTTATCCCTCTCATGAGCCTGGCTATTGTTGTTGCCTATCCACTAGAGGTTTTAGAGGACTTCATAAAAATGTTTCTAGAATCTTTGAAATTAGACCACATTACGTGAAAAAGCATATTTAAAGGCATCTTATTACGCAAAATCTGTTAAATGTATTAGATGAGGTTTGGCACATGAAACCGGCTCGTTCCCCGTTAAATCATTATAAGTTGATATTTGTTGTGAAATATATAGACACTGCCAAAACATGAGTAATCCATTTGCAAGACTCCCTTCATTCACCAGCTTAACCTCAAAAAAAGGTAATTCGTGATGTTCTTTATAATTAGAAAGTTCAAAAAGTAGAAATCTGGTCAAAAGTAGAAAGTTGAAAAATAACATTTTATGACGTCACGCTTTATAATTATATTGCTAAAATTAAGGTATGGTAAGAAATCCGATTGTGAGTATATCGATCGGAGATTTTGTTCATCTACCTGTCAAGTCTTTATGTTAAAATTCTGCATGTCTTTTGCTTACTTTCTATGAACTGCAGCATTTCATCTATGCAGACAAAGCTACCCGATGGGTGTTATTTCATTGCAGTTGGAGACTTTTATGATATTTCTAGGCAACTTAATTTATCTGCTTGCGAATACGGCAGCTGCATGAACGTTTAACAAATGTTTTGCAGTATTAATATGGCATTGGTCCCGATCGAAGTTTTCTCATTGATGGCAGTGGGTACCTACCAATTTAAAAAACGTATCCTTAGGGGGGTTTCAGATTTTATGTACTATAGCGAAAATATTCGGCAAAAAGTAGAAAAGAATCTTTCTAGTTTTTGAATTCTCAAAATATATTATCATAGCGGCCGACCAGTCTTTAATTAACGATGTTCAGGTAGCAACAGCATTCTGTACGTATTCGACAATAAGTTTATAATTTGATGTATCTTTTTCTTGATAAGGGTACGAATAAAACTGCCTGATGCCTGGAGATCGCATCATGCGTGAAACTGTTCTATAAACAAGAGTGTATGTTATTCAAAGTCAGTAGTTTAAAGGGTTGATAGTGTGTATTAAGTAACATTATTTGCCAAGGAATAGAGTACAGCTTACGGATCTCGTGTACTTATTTGTCAATTTATGCAAGTTTCGGTTCAAGGCTTTGACACGCATGGACAGAGAGCTGTTCATTTTCCCGTTTTTCAGCATTCTCGATCTTTGTTTATTCTATATTTTTTTAAATATTTCAATTTATTTCTCAAGCTATTTTTTGCCATTGTATAGTTTCTGTTACTTTTCTGATCAGCTGTAGCAAGCGTAACTTTTGATTGCCTTGTTACACTACATATTATTTTGTACCTATTTCAGGAAATATCGATCACGTGACTGTACTGATTGGAATATCCGCGCTTGGTAAGTCAGTGGCTGGGGTCATTCACCAACCATTCTTCCGATACCAACAGGAACCAGAAGTCGCTGGACGTACAATCTGGGCCATTGTTGGCCTGGACGCATTTGGCATAGAAACCTCAGAAGTCGTACCGGGCAGACGAATTGTAACCACAACAAAATCCCATAGTAACAAGGCTGTTCTTGAAGCAGTTCAGGCTGTACAACCTGATAAAGTGATCCGCACTGGAGGGGCAGGCTATAAGGTGCTTCAAGTCATTGAAGGTGTTGCTGACGCATACGTGTTCGCAAGTCCCGGATGTAAAAAGTGGGATACATGTGCACCCGAGTCTGTGTTGCGAGCCCTTGGCGGGAAGCTAACAGACATAAATGGTGTCGATATTGCATATGACTGCCTTAATGAATTCAAAAATTTGACTGGGGTGCTGGCAACGAGGCTCGACCATCAATCATATGTAGAAAAAATACCACCTTCTGTTAAAGATGTGCTGGGCAAAAGTCGCTGAAACGAACTGACTTTTTAGGATATTTTATGTAACAGGCGGAGATAGGTATATTAGGATTTAAAGTCAAAAGTAAAAAGCTTAAAAAATCATTTTAATGAATAATTAATAGCTAATTATTATACTGAAAATTGAAGATAAACTATTGTACCTAAGTTGAACTATTTTTTGAAGTGTTGCCGATTCCTAGGTAGCTATCAAAATACTTTGCCTACTGAATGATTTTTTATTTTTGCCTATTAATTAGCAAACAGAAGATGAAGTTTCCAGTCAGAAAAGGATCACCTGAATCCGAGCCAATGAATATTTTTGGTTTTACGCAAGATGCAGGCTGCTTATCTTGCTATGCATGGCAAAATTAGGACATGTAATATCAAGTATATCCGTTGCTAGATTCTTGTGGTAATTTGTTCTTATATCCAGTAACCGAACTCTTTGAGCATGGATATTTCTTCATCAAATTCACTAAGTTTCGAATGACGGTACACCTACTCTAATAAGATGTTTCAGTGTATAAGAACATAGAATAATGTAATTCTTAAACTCTAGTTTATTGAAATTTTTTTTGTTGATATGTATTGTTTATAACGTATCTAGAAATCAGTTCTAAGTCATCACCTTCGCTGTGAATATAATCAAAATAATTCATCGCTTAATTTTATCTATACTTTGTGTAATGGAAAATAAACATTACGATCAGATATATCGGTGTATATTAATCGTTTTAATGGTTTTAATGCAAACCTTGTATTTTGTGTTAATCTATTTGCCATTTCGTTCCGATTAAGTTTTTGTCAGGTCGTTAATTTTCAAAAAATATACATGACAACTGGTATGGAGGTGGGAAGATTAAATTTTATTGGTTTGCTAAACTCTGAATTAGGACTGTAAACAACTAATTTGGGTTTTCCAAAAGGTTTTAGTTTGCCAAACACAGCCGAACTTCAAAATGCTTTTCCCAGGCTTTTTTCTAGGTGTCGGCAGATGCTGCTCTCACTCGAAACCTAAAATTTAAAAATCATCTACAAGTAGTAAGTATCGTCTGCTAAGAAATCTTTAAAGGCAGATCTTCGGCGATCACAAGATTAAGAAAAGGAAGAGGAATCTTATCACAGGAAATATGAGTCCAAGTTGTACTCGAAAATCATTAGTATTCACTTTGGCTTCCTCTAGCTCTTCAATCTGATGAAGTGTGAACCCACGAAAAGCAAATTCATATACAGTAGAAACCCGAATAAAAGAACCTAGGTTTTTTTCTGGTAGCCTGAATAGATTCTTGCACACTTTAACAATGTTTTCCACCGCAAGAATTCTAACGGACACACAAAAACCAGCTTTGTTTTCCATGATAAATTTCAACCAATCAAATGAATTTCTGTTGTTAGATTGCCCGATTATAATGCAACATACAGTAACCTGACTTCTCTAAGCTGGTTTAATTTGCCAGTGTGAATAGGGTGTCAAAATACCATTCTAAAGACCCTTTTTTCTTATACATATACAAGAACCTTTCCAAATTTCAGCCTCTTGGGGGTTCTTGATTATGGGGTTTAAAAGATTAAGTTTCAGCCTCAAGGTTCTTATAAAAACAGGTTCTTTTATGTGGGTTTCTACTGTATTAAAATCAATCCTTGATTGTCAGAATTGATGTTTCCAAAATGTTTTCTTTTGGTAATGTTTGCGTATTTGTGTTGATTCCTAGAAAACATTTTAAACAGATGTCGGAAAGAGTTACAGAAGGTCACCAAAAAGGCTTCTTATTTCGCGGAAACATTCTTATGACCCAAAATGGCGAAAGTTGGGGAAAATGAGCAAAATATGGCCCAACATGTCATCAAGAGCAAAATGTTGCAAGATATCAACGATCTAAAAAGGTTCATCTATGTGTGCTCTACTCTGTACATTAAGAGGACAAACTCATGATAGGGGGCCTGCCCAAAATGGTGAAAATCAGCATAAAACTGTGTCCACAAGCACACAAAGTACATCTACCCCGAAAGAGACAAGACGCACCTTATGCGAAGCCGCAGTTCGCGGAAAAACCATTGCAGAATCCCTAGACTGCGCGTATAAATGGACCTCAATATGTCGTGCCTCATACCTTTAATAGGCCGCATGAAGATCTAAATCAGGGGTGGGCAACCTTTTAAGAGAATGGGTCAGATCTTTCAAACCCTTTCTTTAAGCGGGCCAAAAGTAGCAATATAAACGAACACAATAGCTGTAAAAAATAATGATATAAATAATGAAAACTTTCAGTTAAATTCAATTACAATACAATTACAAACCTCTCTTTTTACATAGATAGTTTGCAACGATAGATAACACTGCAACAAATGCTGTCCGAAAGCAGAATCGCACGCTTTAGTTGTAGTTTTAGATCTGTAACACCGAGATGGTTGTTCTCTTTGGGGATGAGTTTCAGAGCAATTTTAGATTTTTTTTCATTCACTTTTTCGCACCCTTCGGAAAATCATCCTTGCCAATCAAAAAGTATGATATTTTTTATCTCGCGGATCACAAAATTCTCTTCCCGGGCCGGATTCTGGCTCGCGGGCCGTAGGTTGCCCACCCCTAATCTAAATTAATTGTATGAATCGAAAAAGAGAAGCAAACATAATTCACTTCAAAAGGCAGTCGCAGTGTTGAAGGCGCACAGCTTGCAAGAAAAAGTAGATGTATTTAACAGCAAATACTGTAACTTTAAAACCAAAGAAAGAGATAAAGAAGACAGTATGCAATATGGCGTCTGCATACCTTGGCAGAAAAGGGATAGTGTTCCAGATCATTAACATGAATTAGAAAGATAATGACATATTACGTTGTAAAAATCAAAATAAAACGACAGGCAATTCTTTTTAAGTATATCTTAAATATATCAAAGATATCAAGGATATTCTTAAAAGGATTCATGCACCTTATTTCATTTTCAGAATCAACGTCATGAAGTGTCACATGGTTGAATATAGATTTCAATCAGATAAACGAGATTTTGCTATGTTTTACTGCTAATCTCAGTAGTTCTCTGTTTTCCAACTGATGCTCCCATGAATTCCAAGTATTTAACAGCTTTTAATAGTTAGAATGTCCTCAGTATAATAAAATGAAGGTTTGGCTCCCAAGGTTTGGCTTCCAAGCTCCGGTATGATAAAAATATAATTTTATTGAATTGATTGAAAACATGCAAATTTTATCTCTAAACAGGTACTGAAAGTTTCAACAATACTTGCGATTATTCCTTCACTAATTTATCAGGAGACGCAAGCAAAGCAAATAAAAACCTAAATCGAATATTTCATACAAACGTTTTTTGGATTTTAATTTGCATAACTGTGTTTCTTTCTTTACATTTTTGACATTATGCTGTTTTGCTGCTTACTTTCGTTTAGAATAGGTCTTCACATGGCTTAAGGATTCCTTCTCTTCCCAAAAGTTGAATTGGGAATGTCTTGTGGTGCCCAACCAAAGGGTTTTGCAATAGAGTATACAGGAACACAAATTGACAGATATTTTTTTGGAGGGGTGAGGGGTACAAAATTTCCGACTGACAATAAACCAATTGTAACTTTCTACTAAAATTGTACTTAACCTTTCATTAAAGAACCTTAGCATTATACAGGTCGCTTCCTTTTAAATTGAGAGAATTCTAGGCATTAGCATCGTGTAATATAATTCTCTGATGTAAACAAGCATTGAAACTACGACTTAGACATTTCGATTACTCTCAAATTTTCCAACTAACTCAAAGAATTTCAAATATTGGAGGGTGTGGCATGCCCCTCATCTCTGATATTAACGTGCATTGGAGCATAACTAGTTGAAATCTTTCTCCGTAACATAAACTTTGTTTTACTCTTCTATCTTTTCATCAATATTCTTTGATAAGGAATTTGACAAACAAAGTTAGTTTATTTTTTCATTAAATAGATAATTCTAGCATCTTTCTTTGCACTACTTGTCTGTGGTGTGGTATATGATAGCTTGTGATTGCTTCTATTTCCTTGTCCTGGGTCTTTGCTTTGAACTTGTAAAGTTTGCTGATAACAGCAAATAGCATATATTCCATTTCAGCCTCTGATTGACCTAACTTGTAGTCTTCTTGCCAAATTTGAACAGTTCAACATATTGCAGCATTTTATCTGCAACACTGTACTGTCTAGATTTAGAGTCAATTACGGCTTTTGGGGCTGGTAACACCTGGCATTGTTTTTCATCCACAAATGAAGTTGCCATTTCCAGCAACAAGTTCCAAGACTGATGAATGTCAAAACAAGCACAATACTCAAACTGTTGAAAAAAAAATTACTTGGTTAGATGATAGAATGAAATTGAGTGAAACCTGAGTAAACTATATCAGCAGTTATTGAATTCTTTTAAGGAGACAAGACCAGTATTACCAGATAAATCAGGGAAGAAAAGGGTTATCAAAAAATGCTTACGTTTACAAAAGCAAATTCATTTCTTACCTCAATAATGATACCTTTAAAATTATTTCCTTGGGAAATATTACCAAGCTTTATCTTAAAATCTCCAAAATCGTAGTTTATGCCTTTTGCCTAAAACAAATCATATTTATGCAGTTTAGTAAATTGCAACAAAACTGAAAGTTACTCACTTAAGTTTGAACAGCTCAAATAAAACATGATTTAGCATTAATTTGGATCTTCCACTTAGAATCAAAATCTTTGGGGTGATCACAGGACCATAATATTGAGATACTTGGCGTAAAGGGTCATACATAATTGACATCAACTAGAATTTTAGTATTTTTACCCCCCCCCCCCTCCTCCCTGTCACCACTGTGTCACCAGCTTTCTGACCCTCCTGAATTATATTGCCAGTTGCGTCACTTCTCACACTACCCCTCCCCCCCTCTTGCGAAATATTCATTTGAAAAGGAGAGCAAACCAAAAAGCATATTTTTTTCTTTATCACTTTATTAAAAAGTGGGGAAATTTAATGTTGCGAAATTTTTCTTCAAAAAAGTTGCGAACATTAAATGTAGCGATAAATGAAAATTTTGTAACAAATTTTAGCATTCGTTGTTTGCTCGGCAAAATTTCCCAAAACGACTGGACTTTCTGTCGAAAATTCAGAATGTAGAAATCATTAACACATCAGTTTCGCTAAATATCTACTTCAATTTTCATAAAAGGTCTATCATCAAAGTCTGCATCGTTTTTTATCTTCATCTAAATTGTCATCTAATTAGACATGTTGCGTTTGGGACCATGGTAAACAGGTAAAAACGAAATTCTGCCGAAAATAAAAAAAAGTGCGGGGAAAGAAGATGTGAATATAAAAATTTAAAAGTTGCGGGAGAAGAAGTGCGGATTCTGAGAAATGAATATTTTTTTGAAGAAAAAGTTGGGAAAGTTGCTAGTTTTTCTTCACAACTTTTTCTTCCCCCAAAATTTTCTTCCAGCGATATTTTCTTCCTTTAAAGTATACATTACGTTTTCACAATTAATCGTCATCGAAAAAACAATTTCTTGTAATATTTCGACAAGATTAAAAAATGGGGCAGAAATTCAAAGCATAGGAAAGCGATGAAAGTTACTGTCAATTTTCTGCCATTTCTATCTGAATGTTGAACACCAATTTACCATTTTCTCTGACAAACAGGGATCCTTACGAATGGTCACGAACAATAACTCTCCTTATATTCTCTTACATCTTTAAACTTTCTCCACTTTTAATTTTATGAACTTGCCAGAAAAGGAGGAATGGAAATCAAATCACACATTCTCTACAAAAGATACAAATTTGGCGAGAAAAGGCTGGCGGGGGTGACCCCTTCAATTCTAACCAAGAATTCTAACGAATTTGCGTAAAACAAGCTGAAAATGCAGTTGGGTCCGTCCAAAATTTCCTGTGAGAAGAACCTAGACCAGGACCGACACCAGCAGTGATATATAGGGGGTGGGGGTGGGGGGTGGGTGGAGATCATAATATTTCCAACGACATATCTACTTCAATGGTAAATTGACTCTATGCATTCGTATCTACTTGTTAGTTCCCATTTGCAGGGTATAGGTCTAGTTCGCCAACTGTACAACCCAATTTGTTGCTACATTTTAGATGCAGATATATTTCCTCAAGGTGTTGTTGCCGTCTTGTTGAAGTGACTAGTCAAGACAAAGGACCACTAAACTATTCTGCAAATATCAACTTTGGCTGTTTTCAGACAATACAACATAAAATATCGATTAAAAGCAAAATTACTAATAATAAAATATGAAAAGCTAAGAAGAACATCATCAGCCAGTCGTTGCGATGTGACTTGTTGAGAGTCCTAAAATTTTCTGACATACATTCAGATTTTCCAACAAACAAACAGAGGGTGATGCGACCTCTCTTGCCCCCCCCCCATTGGCATCGGCTTTCACCTAGGCATAGAAAAATGACCTTGAATTTTCATCCTTTCTCAAAGAGTGGTACTTATTAAAGCACAACCACTCACCACATTGTTTTCTATTTGTGAACCTGTCTACATTTGAAGCTGCTATGATAACTTTTATTCACAACTTTTGGGAAACGTTGGGTGTAATTTAGACAGTTGTAGACAGGGGCATAGCCAGCAGGGGGTGTTAGGGAGTGTAACACCCCCAAATTCTCGATGAGTTGGTCGGTGAATCTTCAAATGGTCTACAAAACCTTTACTTTGTCAGTAAAATCGTTTGTTGGTAGGTAAAATACCACAAGGCTGTGGAACGTTTCTTTTCACGTTTTTTGTCCTTGGAACATACCAGGGGGAAGAGATGATCCAACTTTCACCAAGGTGACATCACCAAAGCTGGAAACCCTCCTCCCCCCTCTCAAAGTGTCACCTTCCATCACCAAAAACCGTAAACCCCCCTTCCTCTGCAAGGACTTCGTTTATGTATGAACCCTAAGACACCAAGCTATTGCCCATGTTTTATTAGAGCATCAGACAAAGATTAAAGCTGTAGAGTATTAACAAGTGCATGCAGAGAAAGATTCTTTGGTTTGGTCATGTTGAGAGAAAGGATGACATGATGATTGGGTGAAGAAATGCAGAACAATAAAAGTAAAAGGAGATGATGGCAAAGGGAGATCAAAGCAAACATGGGAGGAAGTAATCAAGTCAGATCTGGAGCAAAAAGATGTCACCAGAGACTTGGCAAAGAATAGACTGGCCTGGAAGTCAATAATTTCAATAAACCGTCCAACAAATACCAGCATGTGAACCAGACATAAAAACGAACATGATGAAGCAAGCCAAAGCTGAAGTCTGGTGGAAAAGGTAATTGACAAAAAATAAAGTTATCATGTAAGTCAGTGGAAGCACCAACAATTGTTTCCAAACATTCACATAATTTCTCTGAAATTGTTATCTGCATCTTGAGGGTTGTTGTCAACATCGCACAATAATGTTATAGTAATGTCAACATCACACAATAATGTTAAAGTATCAAAAAAAGGTTTAAAAATTTATATGCAATATTATAAATCCAAAATCGGTCAAATAGAGTTGCAGCTTTAAATGTGGAAATACATACCTCAGTTTTTCCTGACTTTCTTGGAACATAAAATGCTTTCAGCTTTGTTACTAGTGAATCCATTCCTTGATCAGCAACAACACAGGTATCATTTTCAAGAGCAGCAAAGCTGACATTAGGATAGTCAGAGCAATGGAGCAAATGAAAGATCTTTGATGTTGACTCTGAATTGATATGATCAAAGAATAATTTGAAACACCTTTGCAATTTGAATCAAAATATTTGTGACAACTGTGAGCATGCAAATGATACTGTTCACACAGAAATGACAAAACAAATAATTGTTTCATATTATATAAATTAACTTAGCATGTAGTATATCTGAAAAGATTAACTTTACTTTATACTACATATTTATACACAGGACAATAACATTTAGCATTTAGTTGTATTTGTTAAATACAGGCCAGTGTTGTGACAAACACTCATTAAAGCCTGGTTTTCATTAGAGTCATGAGGGTTGTAAGGACCGCAAGAACAACATTTTAAGATTTTATGACATTTATGATTAAGTGAAAACACCAAGAATCATAATCGTAAAATGATAAGAACTTGATATTATCTCCTAAAAGGCATGACATATGAATCGTAAAGATCAAAAACTTTTTCATCTTTACGATCCTTATGACAGGATGTTCCATTGTTTTGCCAATTAAGTTGCTAAATTCCCTGATTTTCAGTCCAAGGCAGCAAGCATTGCTCCTTCTCTTGTTGGCCTTGATACGCAATTTATGGATCTATATTGTGTGGCAAGGTCATCTATAGAAATCCAGCTGCTTTTTTGACAAGTCTTCAAAAGACCATCAGTTGGCAAGAACACCTTGCTCTTATCTCCTTTCTCAGAATCCAAAACCCTTTCTTTCTTCATATTTTATTAACTTGCATTTCTGCAACATCTTCGTCTTTTCATTAGAGTATACACTGCCAGGAACAAACATAGATTCTTACAGCCAAGTAAAATCCTTGTAGAGAAATGGCAGGGAAAAAGGGCTTCCTAATCAAATTGTAACGGTTCTTATGATGCTTATGATTTTTTTATTCTTATTAGAAAACAAAAGCTTATTTATTCTTAAGGCATTTTTATGATGGAGTTTTCATCTAGATTTTCAGAAACATAAGTGACACAGGCTTAAAATTTAGTTTCTTATGATTCATTCGATTGTTATGACTCTAGTGAAAACCAGGCTTAACTGATAAGCATAGAGTTTCAGAGTGTCTACATTCAGTTACTTAAAAAAATCCCTGCCATACTTTCTGTGATCTTTTAATGATTTTATTACGCTATGTAGTAGAATTTAAAAATCAAACTAAGCTGAACTGACCAAAATTTTGTGAAGAAGAATATGTTTCGCATTCGACAAGCCAACTGCCATTACGCACTCCCCCTGCCAATTCAACTTTCTTTTGCAATGCATCAAGTGTCTGCTGTCCATTCATTCCCTCAGATATGTCAACTTGAAGAAGGCTTAAATTGAAATAGGTAGAGCAAGATCTAGTCAAAGATTGATTGGTGCATTACACATTCCAATACAGTTGGCAGCACCAGGAGATGGTATGGGGGAGGGTAATTTAGATGGTATAGAGGGGGTAATTGCAAGCACTTTTGTCAAAAGATGGTCTACATTCTTCTAAAAATCGATTAAAATGTAATTTATAGGCAGGGGTAGGTCATACTTTTCAAGATATGCTTAAGGAAAATACACTTTGTAATGTATAAAGTACTGCAATGGAGCAAAAAGGGCATGGTCTATAACGCCCATTACCCTCCTTTTCTGCTTGGTGCAGCAACTACAACAATATTTAAACAAATTAAAGTAGACCTGTGTTATAGTCACGCCAAAATGCTGCTTGAAATCTTGTGACTGTAAACGCAGTGTGGCGGTATACGGAATTAAATTGAGTAGTTTTGCATATTTGGGTCTAAGTTTAATGTGACATCAACCAACCAGCAGTGTGACTTTAAGTGTAATTTTTAAAATGAAGAAACTGAAGCTGAAACTGAGTCAACTGGACAGCACTTCAACAGCCACTTTATATTAACTTATAATATAATTACCATGCCACTCCCATGATGAATGGGAACTCTGCTCCACAGACTTTTCTCCTTTCCCTTTCCTGTCTTTTCTTGTTCAGATTTTAATCCAAACTGAACCAATGGAGTTCATGTGCATGAAAGAACACCGGGTTGTTGTCAGTGGTTGTTGTTCAATCGTTGTTGTTGCTGCATCAACGTTGCTATGAAACGCCTGGATCCTAAAGTAGGGGCCAGCTAACTAAATTGCTCGTTTATCCTGCTTTCCTTTGTTATTGAAAAAATTATTTCTACAAAATCAAAAAATAAACAAGCAATGAAAAACGAAAAACGACAATGGATTGTAGGAGATCAGTGGTTGTAGGATGATAACTTTTGGAAGTGTTGTTGTGGCTGGTAAAACTGTTGTTGTTGTTGATGCTCTTGTTTGTGTATCTTGAGAATATTGGTGTTAATTCGTTGTGGTAAATGTTGCTTGACAAAAATGAAGAGACAAGGAGTTAAAGACAATAATATGAAGTCTACAAGAGACTCACCAGATATTATACAGTTTGAAAACAGTCTTGAAGTTATTTCAAATGGTATTTTGTCCGAGATAACTAGGCCGTCGTTTTCACGAAACTCTGCAAGAAGTTTATCGCAGCTTAGCATGCAGAACTCCACACTTACCTTTGAGCTAGAGAGTTTGCCAGTCGATAGAAGTTATCAAGAAGATCCGCCAAGTGATGACCTGTTCTTAGAAGAAGTCGTTGCTGAAGAATCTGAAAGTGACGAAATTCAAATGACTGACAATCACAATGACAACTATGGTTATATGAATATGAACGCTGAAGCAAAGGAGTTCAAGGCCAAGGAAGGTGATAAAAGATTTTCAAAAGGTAGTAAGTTTCAGCAAGATGTTGAGAAATATGAGAGTGCCACAGTAGAAAACAGCCTTGAACAGGAAATGCAGTCAACCGCTGAAGATGATCTGAATTCCAAAGAATTTGAAAAAGAAATAATGAAAATTGCACGTAGGGTTAGGCAACCTAAGGTTAGCAAAGAGGTTGTTGTAAAAAAGTCCAAAACCATTAGTGGCTCTGCAAGTCCTGCTTCCACTGACAAGAGGCCCGAGTCAACTTTGTCTAATAAGGGTGGAGAGCCTAAAAATGAGAAAGAGATTGACCCTAGAATTAAAAAGGGGCTCAAGAAAATAAAGAAACTTGATGACATACTGGCAGAAAAGATAAAATTGGAAAAAGAGACAAAAGCAGATAGAAGGAGAATGGAAAAGGAATGGCAGCTGGAAATTCAAGGTTTCATTGAATGGTGTGGTGAAAACACATCAAAGCCTATCATTCAACAGTTTTTGGCCTTAACAAATGCGGTTGGGGACTTTCACACTGAAGACGATGATGAATTTTTGCCTCTGTTTCAAACAGAGATAGACACAGATTTCAGTCAACCTAATGCCAACTTGTCAGGTGAGGTCAATGGTGATTCAGAAGAAAAAAAATTAAGTGGTAATGGAAAAGATAAAAACAATCACAAAGCTCACACAGAAAAACCAGGCAATGATGAAAAGGACAATAAAGCAACTTCTAAACGGTCAAAAAAGAAAGACTTTGTTAAAAGAAACATTGAATTAGCTGGTCATGCTAATGAAATTGTTTCCTTGACTGAGCAAGAGCAAAAAAGACTTGATGAACTTTTATCTGATGACAGTGACTTGCTAATGGTTGATAATCCTTTTACAAAACATCCTATCAACAAGCTTCCATCTGGGTATGAGCTGGATGATTCTGCCAAACGAGCTTTGACAGATATAGATGAAAAATTAAAGTGCTTGGTCCCAGAATCTGACTTTCAAAGCATTTGCTTTAGCCCAAGAACTGAAAATCTAAGTCCAAGAAGCATTGATTTTTCAGAGTTTGGTTCAAGTAAAGTAGATATTGATACAAAATATGGAGAAGAAAGTCTAAAGCAAGGAAAACATTACCGGGTATTGAGGGAAAGACTTCAGCAGATAGAGGCTAGACTAGAGAAACTTGGCAATAGAGAAACAGAGGAAAGTTCAGAATCATCAAGGATACCTGAGGAGTTGCTAAGGCAATTACTTGAAGTTGACTCACGCCTTACATCATCTGCACTAAGTATTTTAAACTCAGCTAGAAGCAATCTTAGTCACAGAACGGACAGTGCTACCCTCATAGATGATGCAACAGAAACTGTTACATTTTTAGATGACAATGAGTCATCTATTGATACAAGTAGGTCATTTTACTCAGATAAAAGTTTCCATAGTGTTGGTGTTTGATTCTTAGACAATGTCATTTTATGCAACACAGATTAGGTGAACACACTTATGGTATCTTCTCATTTTATTCCTGTTTTGTATAAAGTTTTGTAAAAATTCCATAATTTGCAGGAATTCCATAAAACCTTAACCCAAATCCATAATTTTCTTTGGAGTCCAGGCTTTGCACACCACTAGTGTTTTTTATCATTTAAAAAAATATTTTAAAACTACAACTAAAGCTATTTAAATACATGCCACTCACAACAGTGAAGGAGGCAAGGTCATCTAGTCTCCATTATGAGTGACATTTACAATTTTCAATTACATCTAAATATAAACGCAAAAAAGGAAGAAGAAGAAAAAAAAACTAAATCAGGAGAAGTGAGGTACCTTTAGAAAAATATACACACACATTTTTTTGCATAGTTTACATGTTTCAGAGATAGATCAAGAAAAAAAAATAAAAAAAGGAGTTGCTACTGTTGTGTTTTTCAACTAAAAGAATCTCTTAGTGTTTTTGATGAATTGAAGAGTGGCCTCCATAAGAAGTCTATTGGCAAGTACATTTAATTCGGAGCTTTCAGAAAGTATTACTTCACAAATTTCCATTGCAGAGAGGTTTGAAATTTTTGAGTCCAGGGACTTCAGCAAGCCAACCAAAGAGCTTGTTCCGCATCGCTTGGAACAAATGGCTGTGGAACATTTGGTACACATCACTAGTGTCACTATGATATGTACCAATATGGGGGAACTAACACCCTTTTTTATTGTTTTAAAGAGCTATCCACCACAAAATCAGCACCCACCCCTCTTGGAATAGAGTGAGACATAACAAGCTCATAATAATTACTCTAGAAATTAACAATGTAATGTAAGCTTGTATGCTCCTATGCAGGCAAAACAATCAATCATATTAATATTATACAAACTTTCAAAAATGTCACTACTTTATTTAGAATGTAAGGGAAAATCCTTTGTAAATACTAAGATTCTGCCATTGACTGTCATTGACACAGAGAGATAATTTCTTGTTCTTATTTTGTAATAACTTGCAATCTCAACTCAGCAGATTGGAAGTACCCCCATCAGAGGTAGCAGCTACTTAAAATAGCCTCAAGTGGTAGAAGTGTTATTGGGCCATCTGGCAGCATTTGGGAAGACCCTTAAACCGACTGGACCACCTGTCAGGCAATAATGAGAGTACCTCCCCCCTGGGCTCTAACACCTTGACAGTCTGTTTCCAAACTTGTTTTTGGAATTTGGCACAAATGCTTTTTAAGAGCCTTTTCTTGCAGTTTCTCCAAATTAAAAGTGAGATCTTTAAAAGGGTTGTGAAAAACACTTACAAACATACTTTTGGCTTTCCTTTTTATGCAATGCAGCAGAAATTCAGAAAAAAACAAGGTAGCTTCAAATTTTGCTTGGCTTTTGTTATGGTGTACATCTTGCTAGTGGTGACATAGTCAAGTATAAAATTGCTGTTCACAATAACATTCTGTAAGTTTTCTAAAAAGTCGTCAAGGTTTGGATAGAGGTCTTGTTAACTACTAAAACTATTCTTATTTATTAAAAGAACCTTAATTAGCGTCGCGCTCTTTTCTATTCTGGATTTCCACAGACGGGGTCACCAGATTGCACCTTAGGGGAGGGGCTAAAAATCAAGCTTAGTGACGTACCATGGTTGGGTCTTGGGTCTGTCGGGAAAGAAAATTTGTGATGTTTTACCTTCTAGAATGGCTAAAAAGTATCTCACAGACTAAAATTTAGCAAAATATTATACCACTCAGGATAGACAAGTTGATATTTCTCAGAAGAAAACTAATCATTATTTATTGGGAAAAATCGAGGAGCCATGCTAAAATCTTAGTTGAGAAAAGAAAGGAAAATGCCATTATATGGTGGGAAGACCAATAACAAATTTTGTAATATGAAACCTTAGACTTTGTGATTTACTGAATTAATGAAGATTAAAAGGCAAATAATAGAAATATAGGTGAATAAGTTAGTTAATAGATCAAATCAAATAAAATCAATCAGGATATAAACAGTTTGTTATATTTTTCAAAAATCAAAAATCATGCTCTGTTTAAAAAATAATGGAAATAATTGCCACAGCGGAAATGGTGTTATATTAGATCTTTGTTGGTGGTTCACTCACTGTCGGCGCTCTGGCATTACAGCCCCCCCCCCCAACATTTCTTTCCTGGCGCCATCCCTGGGCTTCATCCTAGCCAATCTTCCCCTAGTGGCGCCGTACCTGATTTTCCACTTATTCCAGAAAGAGAGCGATGTGATTTTCTATTTTTAAACATACTAGACATGAAAAATTTCCTAAAATTTCTCAGCCGACACTGAAAGAATCCCAGTTCTGATTTTAATATAGAAAATTTTTTTTACAAAAATGCGTGATGGCATTCACAATTTTTTATGGATACGAGGTTGGGCTGAGGACGTGGAAACAAAATCCTGGCCTAGCAGGTTGGAGCAAGAAAGGCCAGTTTTGATTCTTGAAGTTCGATATATTTTTCAGAGAAGTTCTATACTAAAATGGACGACTCAGTGCAGTTACTGACACTATCTTTTGCAATGTTCCTTGGTAGCTTTGTAGCTGGTGCAATTCCATTAACAATATCACTTTCTGAGGTAGGCTATTGAAGGGGCAGGTTGTTGTTACTTTTAAAGTTATTTAAAGTTAGTCCTGTTTTTATTGAGCTTTCACCACGTCTCATCTTTTGATTTTTTATTTAGATGCCTGATGTTTATATTCCTAATGCTCCGTGGAGTTTTCTCTGTGAATATCACGCTTCATCGGTCAATTTTTACTTATGAAATTTAAAAGGGAGATATTATATTTAAGGGTCTCTAAAAAAATTTCAACTTATATGCCTAGACGAATCGATTGAATAACTTCATACATACTTTATAAAAGGAAAGACAGACTTATTTAAAACAAATTCAAAACACAAGCTTCAAAGTTTAAGAAGACTGCCACAGGTAAGGCCATAATAAATAGATTTCCCTGGTGGCAATCCACTCAGAGACACTTGATTAGTAAATTGATCACCTTTATAATTTGTAGTCTAAGTGATATCATTAACTTTTTGTTGGATAATTTGAAAATCTTTATATATGATAAATGCCATACCATGTAATAACCACCATTAGTTTTAAAATAATCATACCTGATTGGGCCCTTGCCACTGAAACATTAAAAGTAATCCATACCTTAATAAAATATGCAACATATGTTTTTGTTGTTGTCTAATTTCTAATGTGGAATTCTTCATTTTGTTTTTTGCTCAAACAGAAAATTTGATTTATTTTTTTTCTCTAAAATTAAGATGGACATATGGAAATTAAGGAATTAAGAACATACAACAGACTATGGTCACATGGAATGCGGCCTGGAAGTTTGTGATTATACAGTGCTGTTGGAACGAAATTCATATTTGGGGGGCTGCCCATTGTTTTCCTTCTCATTCAGTACACTCAGGGGCAAAACTACCGGGGGGGTGTGGGGGGGTGTGACACCCCCCCCAATCCAAAAAATAGTCGATTTCGCAGGGCGCCAAGAAGAGCTTTGTTGCCACGCAGAAATGCCACCTCTGAAGTTCGTAAAGGGCCGTTCACGAATTTTGAAATGGAAATATTATATTTGTTATAAACCTCCCTTCCTGACATTGCATTTTAGAGAACGGAAAAGGTATGTCAGGAAGAGCTCCGTTATTAGCAAAGCGAAAGCATTCCTTACCGAAAGTCATAGCCAATGGATGCAATGATTGATGCATATGTTTATGAGGGCAAGATTGAGTCCATATAAATTAATTTAAGTTGTGAATTATTTTCATGACAAGCACGGCGTCACTGGGGAGGAATAAGGGGCTGAAGTCCCTCACTTTGGTCAAGATAGGAATTTTTTTATCATTTTTTCTATTACTTTTTATCAGTGCATGAACTAAAAAACATAATAAATCGTTAAGATACCGATTTTGTTTCATCTAATTGCTAACTTTTTCACGTATTTTTTAATATTTTTCTTTTATTTGCATTAATTCAGTAAATCATTTTCTGTCTCATTGCAATGTTTCAATTTTGGATGTGTAAATATGGCCTTCTTGATACAAGAAACTGCACATTTCTGTTCAGGAAAAAAAATTCTCCCAATCAAAACAACATCTTCCTCTGTCATTCACAACTACGTGCAATCTGAAACGAAAGGTTGCCGTTTCTTTCCTTCCCCAACGCTTACACTAGAGTTTTAGCATGACATCCCCCTCCCTATTTTTCCCAATAAACAATAATATTTTCAATAAACAATCAGTTCTTTTAGCACAATAGTATTTTGCTAAATTTTTGTCTGAAAGATGCTTTTTAGCCCTTTTACAAGGTATAATTTCAAAAAATTTATTCACGTCGGACCCAACCATGGTGGGTCCTCCTACCTCACTAAACTCGACTCTTAGCCCCACTGGGCTAAATTTCGTTGCGCTGTCTACATCATGCCCCCCCCAATTAGCTGTTTATTAGCTTAATTTTGCAAACCAAACATTAAATGAAGTGAATATAAAAAAACAATTTACGCTCACGTAGAGAAATAGAAATTTCATAGGCAATGAAGTTTCAAGTTTGTTTTTATTGCTTAGAAGTTTGTCCCTGGTAAAGACCAGTGTACACTGGTAAAGCTTTCACTAGTAACCTATAGACAAACCGTTGCTACGAGGTCTGCAGGGCACCACTCAGTTTTGCAGGGCAGAAACCCTTTTCACCCCCCCCCCAAAACTATTGGCCAAGTTACGCCCCTGAGTACAACAGTTAAAAAGGACATACTTACAGTTTGCCATTATTGTGGGGCTCCAGTCCCCCGCCCCCTGGTTCCGTTGGGCCTGTTATGGCCAGAGTGAGGATCTAAATAAGCCTAGCAGATAAAGCTGAGCCCAATGACTAAAAAGAAATTCAACAAATCCCTTCAATTTTAAAAAAAGAAAAATATCCCTGTATTAAAAGTGTCACTGAGTTTCCTTTAACAGCTTTTTTGCCCTCTTAAAATTTTTTTGCACGAAGCATCATTTCTCATTGCTTAGCAAGGTAAAATACCATCTCATTGCTAATATTTTGTTAAACTTTTTAAATACTAAATTATTGGACGGGATATAAAAGAACATTGGATATAGTGAATACTGTCTTTTTTGTTTAAGTTTTTTGTATTTCTAATTTGTTAAGTATCCTACCTTTTTTAATTTTGTAGAGAAGTCTGAGGCTAGTAAGTATCATTGGAGCAGGACTTTTGGTAGGAACTGCTTTGGCAGTTATTATTCCTGAAGGAGTTCATGAACTATATGAGAATATACATGATTGTAATTATATTAGTACCCCAAAATTTCAATGTTGTCCTTGTTAATTCTTTGAGACAATTTTAATCAATAGACAACCCCCCCCCCTTTCTTGTGTGCATATAATTCTTGCAGGTACTACTTGATGGGTTTATTTATAAAACTAAATGACTTACTTTCATGGCCATTGCTTTCACACGCTTCCATTGCTCAGAATAGTTTATCAAACACCTTAAATAATCTAATATTCCCAATTTTTTTTTCATAACAACTATCAACAAACATTCTAATCACGCAATCGTTTCTAATTGGATTCTATTTGATGTCATTTCAAATATTCTAATTTGCTAAGGTTACATAAACGTTTATCTGGATTAAACATCCATTTCTCGATTTCTTCAGTATTCTATAAGCTGACTTTCAAGTCGCACACAATGATACCATTCGATGGCGGACACTTCGTGTCAAATATTGGGCAAGCCTATTTTTTAATAAGATGATCACATTTCCCATTGTTTTAGACAAAAAGACCATTTTTCAAAGTATTGTGAGCGTCCCCCCCCCTCCCCCCAAGTTTCCGCCACTGATACCATTTTTAAAACATAACAGAATGTTTTTGAAAATGCGAAAGCAGACCCTCCAAATCAATGTTCCCGACAATGTTCTTCATCAAAGTTTTAGTTGATCTTTAAATCAACATTGACCCTTTATACCAATAATTCCTTGCTTTTCTGTTGTATTTTTGCTGCATTTATCAATAATATAAAAATCACATGTCACAATGTATGCTGTTTTATTCAAACAACTTATTGATTTTAATCTTTAAGTGACTTGCCCCAATACACTTCGTTTTAGACAATTGACCTTTGCAGTTGATCATTATAAGACTCCCATTTATCATCACACAATTCTCTATATACCATTTACCGTTAGTTTGTTTTCTATATATGATTTTCAAAATACAAAATCTCTTAAAAAATTCTACTAATAAAATATGGCCAAATTTTCTTCTTATTAGTTATTATCTAGTCTATCGTATATCAACTTACATCTACTAAAGTACTTTAGGAAAGCATATCACAACATTCATGTCTGGTCGTCAGAGATGTCGATTCATTACCCTTGCCCTATTACGCAGCATCCTTAAATTGAAATAATCTCAATTATAGCTTCATGATCATATTTATGGCTAACTTTAAACCCACATTCGCTAACATCATTGTATATTGTCAAAACATTAAAAACCCAGCATCCTCTTTTGCTTATTAAAACTCTTGAATTTGCATCTCATAAACTGTAATTTTTTTACATTCATATTTTTTCTTTCATGATTCCATACATAAAATCGAGCCTCATATTACACAGTTAAAACTGCATTACAGTACTCAAGTCATACAAATATTAGTTACAGTCTTCAAGCATTACAAAATTAGATGATATAACAACACACAAACACAAAGACCATTCACATCATGAGCATAAGGGGGTTGAACTTCATACATTGATTGGGGTTTCATTGAGTGTTGGATTTATCTTCATGCTCTTGGTTGATCAAATCAGTGGAGGTCATTCCCATGGGCCATCAGGTATGTACACATCTTTCAAACAACATACATTTTTATACTTTTACCATTTGTACCATCAAAAAATCTCCAATTCATTATTACCTATTGTCCATCTATAAACCATAGCTTTATCTCAGTAAGCTTTTTGAGTATTCTACTTTTTGAATTCGTTGAAGCTTGTTTGCCTACGTTGCCCCAAAATTTCCAGATAGTTTGTAAACATGTCACCTTATATGCAAAGACAAAGCCTATCAATTTAGGGTAAAATATTTAGCATAAGTTGCAAATTTGTTGAATGCATATTTTAAAAAAGGATGCTCATTTTATCCATATATTGCCATATGAAGCATAGCAGCATTTTACCATGTAAATTTTCACTTCCCTAGGAAAGCATTTTCAGCTGTTGTCTTTTTGTAATCATGTTTGAAAGTAATGTGTGTTTTGTATTCTAGAATCAAACAATGACAGGAGAACCAGTAAGTCAGTTGCAACAATTGGCCTGGTTGTCCATGCAGCAGGTATTATACTAATTTTTTAATTGGTTTTGTTTAGTAGAGAACTGGAAGTTTATAGCAAGGCCTTTACAAGGTACAAGGAAGGGAGAGGGGGAAATGAAAGGGAGTTGAGAAACAGTTTGTAATTTAGTTTTCATAGAAAGCAACCAGGGATGGCACTACGGGGGCTGTGGGGTGTCTGGAAGCATCAATCTTTGAAGATTTCCCCTCCCTTCTCCAGAAACCATGGTGCCACATTTGGTAATGATTATATCATGCGCAGTTAAATTAGGTTATTTTACTGTAATTAGAAGATAATTAGAGTTTGGGGAACAGTAAAGGCAGATATATTTTGAAAAATTGGGGAGAAAAGGTTCAACCAGGAGAGTTGAAAATCAGAATTAAAAGGTTAAGTTCTTTCAGGCCAGAGATCTGTACATATAAATGCATAGCCCACTATTTGGGTAGAAAAAGGAGAAAGCTCATAACCAGAAAATTGGAGGTGAGCATGAGATGTTGCCAGGGTCGAGAGGTTCAATTTTTGTCAAAATAAGGATAAGCGCACACGGTTTTCCGTTTATAGGAGGTGGTGCACAGAGTTAAGATTGAAGGAAACCCTGGAGCAGAAGAGCAAACAATGCTTAGAAGTTGCCACATTTGTAGTTGCAGTTGATTTACTAAAGTATTAGTTGAGTTTGAAGACTGTGGCATACTTTGATTTTGACCCTTCAGCTATTCTGTGGCCTCATCTGGGCCTCCAAGAGCTGCAAGCTAGAAGTGGATTCAGTTACAAATGGGTTTACCAGGCAGCATCTCAAAGCGCTACAAGAGGGTTCGGGCCTCTGAACTATCAGGTAGCAGGCCTGAGGTACATCCTTTCCATCTGTACCCTTGGCAAATGCAAACTAGTCGAAATCATTAGTATTCAATAGTCATATAAACTGGCAACTTCACAATATCTAATGCTGAAAGTGACAGTGTCACTAAAGACATCAATAGGCAGGGCAATTGTACCAACCCTGGGTGACAAATCATGATTATGTACCATCAAAAAAGTTGTTGGATGTTTTCAAAGACCGTTAATGATATTTCTTGTTGCAACTTAGAGCCGTCTCTTTTTATAAACGAAAGTGGATACAGCTCTGCCTATACAGCTTTATGACAAACTGGTAACAGTAATTTTCATTATACCTTATTTCAGTTTAAAGTTTACTCCTTGTTGAATCTTAACAGAATATATTCTTTATTGGTTTGAAAAACTCTTAAATAAGAATTGAACTTCAGCTGTATTGTGGTTCAATGAACCCGTTAGCTAAAAATCTTTGTATTGCAAAGATTAATAAGAACGAATAAGTAACCCAACAACCTTTTGGTCAAAATAGAGATTGGCTTCAATGTAAATGAACCACGTATCCCCCCTTCCACCTCCTGGCAAAAGCCCTAATATCAAATAAAATGCATTCCAGTTTTCATATTTATAATACTTATTTTACTTTGCAGCTGATGGGGTTGCTCTGGGAGCAGCAGCAACAACATCGAGGTCTGATGTTGAGATGATAGTCTTTATAGCAATTATGTTGCACAAGGTAGGCCACTAATGATTTGGTTAGATCCACTCTATGCCAGTAGTCGTCATTTAAAGAAACAAATGATTTGTATACCGTAAATCCTCGAATTGCCCTCCCCCCTCGAAGAAGCCCCCCCCCTCGAATAAGTCCCCACCTTAGAACTACAAATTGTCAATAAGCCCCTCCCTCGAATTAGCCCCCACTGCTACCGTAAATTTTTGAATTGGACCCCTCAATTTGATGATTTTCGCCATCTGAGGTTGCCTTTGGCGTTTTATTGAATTACCACAACAAATTCATTCTTTTGGTAGCAATTAATTAAATGCTCATACTAAGAAATTCCTACTAAAATAAACGAGGTCCTTTCATAATGTCTTCTTAATGTCTACAATAATTTTATAAGCCCCTCCCTCGTAGAAGCCCCTCCCCTCAAGTAAGCCCCCATCCAAAAGTATCAAAATTCGAGGATTTACGGTATGTAATTACACTTGCAAAACCAACCCTAGTAAACTACTTGCTGATCTGGCTTATATTACCCTTACCCCTAATCATCCATGCACTTTCTGTTGAAAGACAGTATATTATGTTTGAACTTAGTTGATAACATATAAATTGAAACGTTTCCCAGACCATCTTTCTTTTGTCTCTTTTTTTCTCTCTCTAACTTGAGTTGTATTTCTCTGCTCCAGAACAGGCGAAACGTTGCTACGATCTTCCACTAAGTTCACTGCCTAGCCTGTGTGCAGACTCAACTGCTTCATCGTTTAACTGATCGTAAATATTTTCTGCTAGCTTAACTCTTCGGAGTTTGATTTAATTTGCAGTGTCTGGAAAACCTCCCTAAAAAACTGCATATGCTATGTGAAACTATGTAAGCATAGCCCTCTTAGCAATGAAAACCCCAGATGGTCTTGGAACTCTTTCGCCTTCTCAGCATTCAGTAAATGCCAAGTTCTTCATTATTTTTTCAAAAGATTAACTCAACACATGCTACATAGTTGCTCATTTCCACAAGGTATAGAATTTAGAAGCTGGAGCCTCGAGACAGGAAATTGGAGCCTATTTTACGGTTGCCACTACGGTTGAAAACACGGTCTGATGAAGCCATTAGATCAAATGTTAGGCATTAGGATATACTGCCATCGATCGAAATCATATTATCAACTTTGAATCATCTTTTTGCTCTAGGCGCCTGCTGCATTTGGGCTAACAACGTTTCTTCTCACAGAGGTTTGTTTACTTTGGAATTTGAAACATAGCTTTTCATCTGCTTGAGTAACCTCATTTCAGATTTTCAAAAAGGCCAGTTATTTTAATCTTGCATTTGTCGAAACCAAAGCCTGTGTTATTCTAAGTTGTCTTAAAGATCAGCCTAAGGGAAATTAACCACTATTGAGCTGTAGGATTTAATAAAGACTGTTTTGCTCTTGATGTTGGTAAGAAGCAAGCAAAATCAAGATTATGTGCACAAATCTAGCAAATATCCTTTTTAGTATCGACGAATTTGCTAAATATAGAAATAACAAATGTGTTTTTATTTGAAGAATGTGGAGAGAAACCGAATTCGACGGCATTTGTTGGTGTTTTCTTTAGCTGCACCCATCGCAGCTCTTGTTATTTTTTATGGCCTAAGTCAGGTATGTTTCGGCTTTCGGTGTAATCATTTTATCTATAGAATTTATGACATCGTTGAAATGTAAATGAAATTACTGTTTGGTTTTGATGCTTCATATTCTCTTTTTTGTTTAAAAGTTGTAATTTCACGCCTCTGTCATTGTTGTTTGTATTTTTCATCAAATTTTCAACTGTGAATGGAATGACGACTTGCCCTATCACTAGTTAAATAAATATGTAGACCAAGGTCAGACTGTATTTGCTAAGAAATCCGTTTATATGGAGAATTGATCATCATAGCATTGCAAGAGAATCTGTATTTTCTAATTTTCTTGTGAAAAGCATTGGGAACTTTTTGATAAAAGCATTCAACCCTAGTCCTTGGAACCAGTACTTTTCGTACATACGTCCTTCTTTAGCTTTTGTTCTCTTGTATTAATTCTTTCATCATCACCATTCAACTAAAGCTAACTCTTTATTCTTTCCAGGGAAGTAAAGAAGTTTTATCAAACATGAACGGTACTGGTATAGCCATGCTGTTTTCTGCAGGAACATTCTTGTATGTAGCTACTGTACATATATTGCCTGATTTAAAGCATTCATATCGACTGTCTAATGTAGAGGACGGTAAATCAAACGGTTTGGACTGCGAGGAGCGGTTCTCAAAAACTGATTTATGTTTTTTAGTAGGTGGGATATTGTTACCAATAATTTTCTCAGCTTTTCATCACCATTGATAGTGATGAAAACGTCTCTTAGAATCATAGGAATTTTGGTTACGGTTTAGCCGTACTAGATTTGCTAACGAATTGAAGCAAGCGAGCGTCAGTTTTCTTGCGCAAGTGTTGATAAACCGCCATGATTCGAATAAACGCGGGATTCTAAAAACGGCTGGATTCTTAAAAGGGATGGATTCTGAAAAGGGCTGGATTCTGAAAAGGGCAAAATTCTAGAAAGTAACGGTAGGATACAAGGTTTTGGTCAGGAACTAAACAAAACCGCGACTAGGATCCAATGTTGTATAATATTATTTTGAAGTAAATTTGATATATCTTAATAATTCGCCCCGGCATACAGGGCTTTATCACTTTGATGGATGAAAGGGGCTGGATGCTGAGAAGGACAGGCTTCTAGAAAAGGCTGGATTTTAAAAAAGGGTAGGATTCAAGAAGTAGGCTTGCGAGTTTCTAGTAACTACTGGATCCAAATAAACACTTGGTTGTGATAATGGCTTCGTCATATTGGATTTTAAGAAATAGAACCGGGCTTTTATCCGAATCAATGCGGTACTTTTTATGAGGTAATGTGCGATTAAAGTGCGATTAATGTCTTTGAGGATAAATGGTAACTAGACACTCTCTTGGTAAAATTCTCAGCATTAAGAGATTCGCGTAACAGGTTTCGTACCATTGTATAAAGAGATATCTAGAAAATTGTTAGATATAACTTTTTCTTATACTTAAATTGAATTATATTATTTTGGAGAACGTATTAGTTTTGATTTATAGAATCAAATGAGATCGTCTCAAAATATACAGCCATTCTGTTTCAATAGTTGGTACTGTTTCAGCAGACCTTGTTTAACTTTCATTTATGCAAGCATGTGCAACCTTGTTTTTATAAACACCTTAAAATGCTCAAATCTGCGCCCGGGCTACTTGTTTGAAAGTCTTCCTTAGAAGGGGACGTTTTTTCAAGATTGGCTGAATTAAAAATTGAAATTTGTCTTTCCGATAATTTCAAAATATTTTTGAAAGTCAAAAAAGTGAACAAAAAGTAAGTCAACGTAAACAGTAATAGAAATTGTTTTATACTGTTAATTTATACTATATATATTTTAACAGGAACGTCATTTTCGCATTACAGAGTAGGATCTATAAGATGCGAGCCTCTATTTCTTCCATTTGATTTACATCTTCGTCCAACACGTTTTAAAAATTTAATGATGATTCAAGGACCTGTGGCACTTTTTTGAGTACGGATTCTCAATAAAAATTGTCATCGAAATGGGGTGCTTCGAAAATGATCGAAAACCAAGCATTTACAGTAGTAATACGCCTAGGTGTTTATTGCAAGGTCATGCTTTCATTCGACCATTTGATATGATACTACCATTTGATATGTTTCAAATTTGATGCAAAAGCATTATTAAGCTATCTGAAACTCTCTTAATTTCAAGCTTTTTTAAGACGTCTGAATTTCAAATCTTCATCTTTTCATTGCTTTTGCAAAAAATCCCCACTTTTTCATGCTTTCTCATCAGATAAATTTTTATTTTAACCTTGTTTGCTAGATAATATCTGGCGATTTCTTGTTTTTTCGTTGTTTATTTTGGAATTCACGTGCTTGTAGTTTTTTGCATGATGTCCGAGCAAGAAGTTTACTTGGAAGTCTATGTATATAAGCCAGCATGATTGTAAAATATTATTATTTGCCAAGGTGGAAAAAAACTTAACATTTACCATCTTAACTTGTAACGAATCTCAGTATTCCAAATGAAATCGACCTTCAATTTACTTTTTCTTCTCACGGATAACTGGCTCCATTTGGTGGGAAGGAAATAAAACAGTTTTTTTGGCGAGGAAGGAAAATGTATCATCAAATAAGGACCTCGCTTTCACAAGGACCTCGCTTTCATAAGGACCTCGCTTTCATAAGGACCTCGCTTTCATAAAAACCTTGCTCAATGCCCTTGTTCTATTATTGTTCTATTATTTTATGAGATGAAGCCCCAAAGCCACCCCCACCCCCGATTTCGACTACTAGTTCTGGAGATGAACCCGTACTAGAAGCCTCGTTAGGCTTTCGTGTCCTTGTTAAATAATGAGATCATTTTTTAATCAAAATGAGATCTTTTAACTGACAGTATCAAGTTCGTTGAAAGAAATTAAAATTTCTTTGAGTAACAAACTCTGTAGTATTTTTATTTACTTTGTAGTAGCAAAATTGTTTGTGAACACGTAGTAGCAAAATTTTATTAGTTTACTTTATCTAGATTAATTTATTGGCGCTAATCTAGTTCTTCTTTAAACTTAATTGCTATTTTAAACCTTTGTGTTTTTTGTCGTGAATAGTGTCCTAAATGTTGTTCATAAATGTTTTATATTGAACTGTAAACCTAGGTTAGAATACTTCAAAAAACGAATCATAATAATCTTATCAAATTTTTATAATAATCGTACATTTTGTCGTGAAAATTAAGACCCATTTTAATTATTTTGTGTGATCAGGGTTACAATCACCCCCAACCAACAATAATCTAAATGGCCATAGATATTTATCTGTTACATAGCAGACGAGATTTTACCGCACATTTTTTCAAACCTATAAAACATTTCATTACATTTTGACAAGATTGAGTATGATAATAGGTTGACAGGGCTGATGCCACCAACAACAGTGCCTGGTTTTTCATTGGAGCCACAAAGGAAACTGGTTTTTATTATATTATATTTAGTTCTTTATAACTTTCGGTACCGAGGCGGTTGAGAATTTCTAAAATGGTCAAATATATGATCGAGAGCTGACTGAGAACCAAGGATCCTGGGCACAACAGACGAATATTGTATCAAAATTATGCTCCAAAGCTCTATTTGGTTTGATTATGACATGAACAGGGATGTGCCGATTGGGGGGCGTCACGCCTTCCCCCCCCCCAATACCTTGAACAAAATTCAACCTGTAATTCATTCATTTTATTGGTCATGGTTGGTCATAGTCAACTTTCATTTTTGTAATACACTCTTTTTCTATAAGAACAATTTTATAGGAACACAAGCCTCAAAATTGGTCAAAAGTTAAAAACAAATTAAGAACAAGCTGAGGCTGCTACTGTAAACTGCAATTTTGAACAACGTTTTATCTTATAGACGAAAATTTTACTCATGTGTGGGTACTTTTTCGGTGAATATTCAAACTTGTTGGCAAATTAAGGCTGTCTAACTCAATTTGTTGGCAAATGAGGCCTGAACACCTCCCTAGAGCGAAACCGCTAGCAATCACACTATTTATTAGTTTAAGAACAAATTAAGAACAATCCACCTTAAGATTTTCGAAAAAACAGTCAGCCTGAACTCAAATTAACTGGTTCGTACAAAAAAAGAGAGTATTGCCAATAACTTGCTATAAGGAGCAAGCTAACGACTATAAGAAATGACTGCAAGAAATGGCTGCAAGAAGTTTTCTGAGATGCATTTTAAGCTAAACTGAAGGGTGTGGTCGCAAAAATTTTCTGCTCGCTCAGCTTGCAGGGGCATCGTCTTTCCATTTTGCCCCAGAGCCTATGGAACCTCTCGACGGCCCTCCAGCCACATTTTCCCCTTCGATTCTTATAAAATTAAAGAAAATTTTATAAGCTGGAGTTATTGTTATGAGGAGCTCAAAAGAAGCTGTAGTTCATTTTTGCAGATAATCCTAAATTGGCTTTTCGCAAAAAGATGCTCAGGGATTCACCCCCATAAACGCAAAATCCAGGAATATAAGTTTACGAAAATTTAATTTCCTCGTGCTTTTATGCCATCATTTGCTCTTACTTGTTATCATGAAGTGTGTATATGATCATCTATTTCATTGTTAATTAATTTTCTATGGAAAAAACCAATAAAGTAAAGTTGGTCACTTTTTTTCTGCATGCCCCCCCCCCCCCTAAACAAAATTATCTAGACACATCACTGGACTTTTAAGCGCAAGGAATTAAAGAACACAACTTTATGGATAGCCCTTGTTGTTTTCCAAAGCGTGACTTTTCTAGCAAAACATGATCCATTTTCGGAATAAACAAGTTAACTTTGAGGTAATTCTTGGAGTAAATTAATCTGTAGTCTCAGAAATTTTTTTACGAGATCTTTCTTCTTTACTTGATCATTTATCATTCTTCAGGTGCAAAATTTCCAAGAAACTCGGTGAGGGAGGAGCAACTGCCCCTAGCTCTCCCCCTTAAATCCGCCACTGAGCTGGCTAGCCCCTGTATGGGATTCATCCGAAATCAAGGAGTTACAAAGGAACAGTGTTATGTAACACAAAAAGAATCAAAACACCAAAGCGGAAGCTAGCCGGAAGCATTTTTCCTAGAATTGGCCAAAACAGCGATGTTGATGAACCTGCTCTAGAGTCGAGAATGAATTTTGCAAATTTTGGGTTGCTTATACATGGAGTGTTTGTTATCAATCTTGCTTCATCAACCAAGAGTCAAGGTAAGCAGTTCATTTTGCAATTACGGATGGAATGTGTGTAAATCTAGACGGAAACACCGAAAGCAACAGGCAAAAGTGCAACTAAAGGCATTATCGTAGATTGAAATATATTACCAATGCTAAACTCAGAAAAATATATCTTTTTCAATGAGATCAACAGCCCGTAGAAATAAATTACCAACGCTGCAGTCATCAAAGTATAGCTATCACAACGAGATCAACAGTATCATAATCATAACTTTAAGTTTGCATCAAGAGTGCAACTTCAAATCTCGTGTGTTTTACGCTGTATGAAAATAGGTTTTGGTTTCCTTGAATGTACAAGTCAGGTCTTTATCCTAAGATCGTGTGACTTACGGAAAATGAAATAGTTTATATTAAACAAATTCTTGTGCCACGCCCCTGTTGCCACACATTCTGGTGCCATGCATCCGTAGTGACCACTCCCTCTTTATGTATTCACTGTTCAACGACAAAAATAATATGAAAAACAAGAATTAGTAAGTTACTTAAAGCAACCGAGTATAAAATTTTGATCACTATAGGCGAAAGTTGTTGTGGTTTGGAAGAGAAACACCCGAAGGCCTTTCTAGTGTAACATGACTCGCGAAATCTGCCATAGAGAAATTGATAGGGAGATGAGCGAGCATATTTGTTGGCTTTCAAATGTTAAATCCTATGCACATGCAGAGATAAAATCGATTACGAGAAAAGAGGCTGTAGAATGAGAGCTATGTCCTACATCCTCTTCCAGTAAAAGCCATTCTAAAACCAAGAAAGTCCATAAAACGCTCACATTCCTACTCTATTTCTATTCGTACTCCCAAAGCCTTAAAAGACTAGAGCACTCAGCGTCGATCTTTGTTTCTTATAAAAGAAATCAGGTCACTTTCTATCATAAGCCTTTTATCAAAACATATGGATGTACTGATTAACATGACAAAATCAACCTGCTCTACATTAAAAACAAGGCAAGCTTCTTCTGTTTGCAAAGAAATCTTTTCTAATCAACAAATAAATGAAAATCATTATTTTACCGATCTGTCTATAAATGCTTGATGCTGTGTAGTGAAGCTAACATAAGTGTTCAGAACAAGATTTTTCAAGACTGCCACTCAGACGTTTACGCTTAATGCGAACATAAGGCTAATGTTTAGTAAATTAAATATATACTTAATGAAACAACACACCCGGTTTACCATTCTCAAAATGTAGATTTAGGAGGAAGTAGAAAAATAAAAGAAGGCCGTCTGAAAGCATGAGCTAAAAGAAGGTACTCATTTTATTGCCTTCTTTTTCTTCTTTTTTATCTTAAAATGCTTGCAACTTTTCCCCTTTTTGCCTTCTTCTCTCTCTTCTTCTATTTTTTGTGTTCCTCTTTGCCTTCCCTTTCCTCTTTAACCTCTTCTTCTTCCTCTTCGTCATCGTCATCTTCTTCCTCTTCGTCATCGTCGTCTTCTTCCTCTTCTTCCTCGTCATCTTCTTCCTCTTCGTCATCGTCGTCTTCTTCCTTTTCGTCATCTTCGTCATCCTCATCTTCTTCCTCTTCGTCATCGTCGTCTTATTTCTCTTTGTTCTCGTCATCTTCTTTCTCTTCGTCATCGTATTCTTCTTCTTATTCTCTTTTTTCTTCTTCTTCTTTCTTTCTTTCTTTCTACATGCTTCCAACTTTACTTCCGTCTCTTTGTTATTTTATTTTATATATATTTTTCCTTTTCGCAAGCTTAACCTTCCAAATTATTATCATTGAATTATCTTTGTCATTTTAGTCAAAATTGTCTGCTAAAAGTAGCTTATTTACAACTCATTGAAGCTTGCTACCAAAAATTACAATGAATAAACAAAGTAAATAGATTCTTAAATATATATGTAATAACATTGGAGGACGGCAATGATATTTATATACCTCCTTTTTACAGCTGTTTATATTTTTTTCATTTTTTGGATTTTTCAAACAAGGAAACCCACTTGTGCAATGTTATTCTTACACACTGTCCTATTATTTCGATGTATGTATTAGAGAAACGAGGGACTGATCTCAAATGATTTTTTTCTCAGTTTGCAATATCGCTGATGCAAGTCGTGTCAACTGCGGATGGCATGGCATAAATGAAGCCACATGCACGACAAGAAACGGGTGTTGCTTTAAGCGTTCATCAGCAAGTGGATTTCCTTGGTGCTTTTACAATTCAAGTGAGTATCACTGTGCTAGTTTATGGTGACGTCCAATCTACAAAGTTTTCACTGTCTGTGCTAGTAACAAGGGGGTCACCTGCAAAGCAAGGATACGTCTTTGGATGATTACGCTATAAAGTTACTTTATCAAGAACAAGCATTAACAGTTAGGCTTTGCATTTTAAGAACTTGGCCCCATAATACTAGCAGCATAAGGAGCAACATAATACTCGATACCAAACGGAACATAATGCTCAGCCTCACGATAAAGAGCGATGCTTAGTTTGTGTTATTATGCTTATACACATAGGTATCTAGATGACCTCCATTAAAATGAAAACCTTTCGACAAAAAATTAAGGCAAAACAACTTTCGGGAAAAGATTTCGGATCCATTTTCGAGAATTTCGGACAAAAAGACTTTCGGACAAACATTTTTTGGATGATTGCAAAATATATGTTAAAATCAACTGTCGCAGGTAACTAAAACGAACTATATATGTCTAATAGAAAAGCTAGGGGGCCACTAGAATCACAAGTTTAAATCTGCATCATAGCGCTTGCACACCACCTGATAAAGATCCCAAGGTGTCTTCCCCGATATCCGCCAAGAGCGATTTTCTAATCTGTATATGTCCGTTGAGAAACTTTTGTAAGAGGGTAAGGTGACAGACAATATAAAATCATTTCACCCATGTTAGAAAATCTTTTTTCCACCTTTTTTAAAAGCTTTGTATTGTCATTGCATAAACTTTCCTCGGTTCAAATTTTTTCTGTGTTAAGAAGTGTTGTGGTAGCGGACTTGACTTGTGGTCCCTTACATTGTCTTAGCAGAAATGTATTATCCTATCATTAAAAAAGGACGTGGTCGCAAAAAATGCTATAGTTTATTCCTCTAGGTTCTCAGTCCTCTCCATTGTCGGGAGCTGGTGCCGCCTCTGGTGCTCTGGCTAGCGTTGGATAATTGGATATATAATATTTCTGAAAATCACTTTATATTCCTGCTTGCGTACAAATTACTTCCTTACTTGATGCTATTGTTTTCTAGGAATTAAAAAACTGAATACAGAAAAATAGTCAAGCAACTCGTTTTTAGATGTTCTTTGAAAAATTGCAGAAAAAAATACCATTGGACGCAATGTGAACCAGGGGTTGAAAATAGGAAGTATTTTGAGACACCAACAATATCTGTGTCTCACATAATTTAAAGTATGAGAGGTCATAATGAAGGTTGGAAGTTGGAACAAAATATTTAGAAAAGAATTAGGTAAAGGGCTGGTAAAGTACAGGCAGGTTTGTGTGAATAAAAAACCAACCAGGTACTTAGGCCAATTACATGAAACACTAGTACAGGGAGACGGTTGTCGCCTTTGCAAAAGTGAGGCTGCTTCCTGGTGATAATAACTAGCCAAAGCTAAAGAAAGTTCTTTGTTGGCAAGACCCTTCGTGATTCAGTCTTAAAAAAGCTCATTTGAAAATGCCCTTTTTTATATTTTGTATATTTTGCATCCTAGATATATCTGCAATTCTGAAGTCAGTATCTGTCTGTGAGCATGCAGGTCCAGCAAGTCTTGTTTGCAATAACAATCAAAGAGTGGATGTCCATGATGCGTTTTACGGTCGAAATAGAGATGACGCGGCCTGTCACAATTCCGGCACTGTAACCTGCTTTAACCCAAATGCAACTGAGATCGTCAGAAGCATATGCAAGATAAATTCTACATGTACCGTGTCACCAAAAGGTAGTATTTGGAACTTCGACTCGAGCTGCGATATGCTTAATGCACAGCTGAAGATTCACTTCTTTTGTGTCGCCAAAGGTGATTGCAGCTTCTTTTTAAATCTTTAAGGAATATTACGCCGAGATTATTTTAATTTAAGAAGGATAACATAAGGGTATTTAGTGGATTGCAAAGCCAGAAAAACATAAAGGCGACATTTGATAGTCATCCATATATAAAACTAATTTTAAATAATACTTTTTCTTTCGTGTTTTGTTAAGTAAATTCTTCAAAATTGCTTGCATCATTGCTCTTGAAAACCTTTTACTATTCATATTTACTGACTTGTTCCCCCCCCCCTCCTCTCCCAAGTATAATACTTGATTATAATACTCAGATAATTCACATCAGTGCCCTTAAAATAATAAAAAACTCTAAAGATTCAAAAGCTAGAATTTATATAGCTCTCTAACTTTATAATACGTGCATTATAATACTTTGCTCGTACTTGGTAGGTAACGAGAAGAAGAAGGGGGTCTGGTCTATGAAGAGATTGCGTGAGGGGCATTAAAAACTTAGGTGAATCTAAGAAGGAGGTTTTCCGAACTTGATTACTTTCTTTCTTGTTGTGCTATTTTCAGAAATACCTCCTAATTAGTATTTGAAGGTGGACAGGCCAAATGTCTAGTACACAAATCCACGCAAGTTCAACACCTCACCACGCAAGCCCCACCAAGAACCACCTAAGCACAAGCTTGTATTCACCCACCTTGGTAAAACCTAGTGTTCGCCAGTCTTCTGAGGGATCTACAATGCAAACGGCAAAAACTACAGCAAGAAGTCTGGGTTCTGTTACCACTAAGACTGTTTTAGGTACTGCAACACATATTGTTAGTTCCAGTGTTGAATTCCAAGCAAAGGGCACGCATAATTCACATCAGTGCCCTTAAGGAATATACTGGAAATTCTGCGGTAATTTACTCGTTTGCGGCGAGTCCGCCGTTTTTACCAATTCATAATGGCGGCAAAAACTGTGAAAGCGCTTAATCATTCTGATAAAAATATTGTGATTAAAGGCCATTAAAGATACCACAATACTTAGTAAAACGTTCTGAGACCTGCTTTGAGATGCAGACTTGCAACATTGTGATTTTTCGTCATTGTGTAGCACTTTTTTCACATTTCTCTCTACAGAATCGTCGATCAATGCGTCATCTTCTTTAGCAACATCTTACTTCGCTACTAACTTCATCACAAGCATATATCGAGCTTTTTTCAGTCCTTCGATTATTTTGACATCCAGAATCGCGCCTAGCTCTTCCTATTTGATGGAAACAACCTCTTTGAAACCAATGGAATCAGGTTCAGGGAGCATGTATACGTCATCGACAGAAGTTGAGCAATCTACCAGTGAAGAATTGTCTGTTTCTACAACAACAACACCAACAGACTGGGAAACTCCTACACAGAGTTGGGTGTTTGAGATGCTGACATCAATCGCAGAGGTCCAGGGCTCTTCATTCCCAACAGATGCGCTACGAATGTCATCAACTTCAAGTCTGCCCTCATCTTTGACTACAGTTACCGATTACCCAACATCATACTCTTTTCCAGAAATGTCTACGTTTTCAGTTGCAAGTAGAAATTCAGCAAAGCATCTTTCGTCACCAGATTTCTACATGTCATCGGTCTTCGCAAGCTCTAGTAAATTCATCTACATTTCCAGATTGCGGGCACATTCTAGTGCAGCAACAGCAACATCAGCAGCAGTAGCACCCTCAACAAATGCTAATGCGGTGGTAGCCACGACAAGTCTTCATGCATCGCCTCACAGGTCTAGTAGCCCAACAGCCTCACAGTCTTCGAGAGTCGCTTTACTGAGTGTTAGAGCAACAGAATCTCAGCCCTCTACCAAGCAAACTGCGAGTATGTAAACTTTTTAATTCTTCATTTTAAAGCTGGGGAATTTTTTGTAATATCTTGGTAAGATGCAAGAGACAGCGATAACTGAAACAGCACAAGTGCACTTTTTAGTTTGCAAAACAAGTCTAGGATGGGGGGATCACTCCGTGAGTTTTCCTCCCGTCATACGTGTTTTTTAAGGACTTTAGTATATTTTTGCCTCGACCTTTCCGTCCTTTGAAATCTAAAAGGAATGGCAGCTGGATTTATTAAATTTGCTTGCTTAACTGTTTCTGATCATTGCCAAATTTTAGATAGCATATTTCATTGATCCATGCAGATCTTTGATAAAAAAATCAGTTATTAAGCAATGTTCTTTATATTTAAAAACATAGCTCAACGTAACAACTATATCACAGGAATAGCAATTATACAGGTTGTACAATATGTACAGGGTGTCGCCGACCTTTATTCGAGATTCTTCGGTAAATGACCTTTGAATAAATTTGATGCATGACATGACATTTGAATGATGACCTTTGCGCTATTTGATGTATGCCATTTGATTGTTGACCTTTCAATTCATTTGATGTATGCTATTTGATTGTTGACCTTTCAATTAATTTGATGCATGTCATTTGATTGATGACCTTTGCGTTAATTTGATGTATGCCATTTGATTGATGACCTTTCAATTAATTTGATGCATGTCATTTGATTGATGACCTTTGCGTTAATTTGATGTATGCCATTTGATTGTTGACCTTTCAATTAATTTGATGCATGTCATTTGATTGATGACCTTTGCGTTAATTTGATGTATGCCATTTGATTGTTGACCTTTCAATTAATTTGATGCATGTCATTTGATTGATGACCTTTGCGTTAATTTGATGTATGCCATTTGATTGTTGACCTTTCAATTAATTTGATGCATGTCATTTGATTGATGACCTTTGCGTTAATTTGATGTATGCCATTTGATTGATGAACTTTCAATTAATTTGATGCATGTCATTTGATTGATGACCTTTTAAATTTATTTGATGTTACCATTTGATTGATGACCTTTGCGTTCATTTGATGCATGTCATTTGCTTGATGACCTTTGAATTATCTTGATGCATGCCATTTGATTGATGACCTTTCAATTAATTTGATGCATGTCATTTGATTGATGACCTTTGAATAAATTTGATGCATGTCATTTGATTGATGTCCTTTCAATTTATTTGATGCATGCCATTGATTGATGACCTATGAATAAATTTGATGCATACAATTTGATTGATGACCTTTTAATTTATTTTATACATACCATTCGAATAATGACCTTGTATTAATTTGATGTATACCATTTGAAGGCACAATCTATTTTCATCCCAACGATATCCAGTTTAGCCACTTTCATGAATCATGATTACTTGATGGACCTTTTAGCTATTCCACAAAAGAATTGGATCGAGGGATCTTTTTGTGTACGAAGAATGAGTACACTATGTGGTGGGTCGAGAGGAACGCATACATGTATGTATGTATGTATGTATGTATATATATATATCTCCTGAAGAGTGAGTTACTCACGAAACAGGCTTGTAGAGATAAACCATGTAGTTTTACTTTCTTCAATCTATGATATATCATGCTCTACGTGCTAACGTATTGAGCACTGTGCTACGGAAGTATCAAAAGACAAATTTCTATATATATATATATATTTATATATATATA